AAAAAATATTAAAGTTGTTGAAAAATTAATCGTATTGTGATGATAATGAAAGAAATTAAAAAGAAAAAAATTTCTTTGTCGCATAATGTCGAATGTGCAGCAAAATTCTTTTGATGATTTTGGTTTGATTATTTTGATAAAAGAAAAATAAAAGCAATTCCGTTTTAGAGTAAAAATTTAATTTATTTTTCAAATAACAATTATGGTCAGGTAACAGTAAAAGACATTTGGTTAATTTAACATTGTACAACAAAATTTAATGACATAACGGTGAAAGAAATTGTTGTGATTAGAAAATAATATATATTGCTTCTTCAACAAAATTCACAAACTAAATTATCTTTTTCATATTATTAATGTTACTTGACGTGTATTATAAATAATAAAAGTTTGCTTGCATAAATCTAACGCCACAAATAAATATCACATATTTAATAATAATTAATCTTAGAGGCATTAAAAGCAATTTTTTTTCGCTATTAAATAGTTTGATATTTTTATTACCTCAATGTTTAATTAGTTTCTTAATGAATTAAATATAAGAGTTTAGAGTTAGAAATAGGGGGAGAAAATGAACGTTTAGATAAAATTCGCATATCTGATTCAGCCACATTAATAACTATTTATAAGGCATAAAGAGAATTTATGATTATTTACGGTGAAAAGGGTAAACGGGCAATAAATACAAATTAAACATCATGAAGTAATTTGCAGCAACGGCGCATTTTTCTTCTTTCGAATGAGGAAGAAAATCGACAATTTCTCATCTCATTCGTAATCATCGCGCGCGCGAGCTCGTGAGCAATATCAATTCTCGTAAAGCCCTTATGGCTTCCTCATTATTTCCATTACCAATTTCACCCTCGCGAGGCCCATAAATTTCCCGCCACCTCGACCATAGCGCGTACGCGAGCGCTCCCGTACGCGGCATACGTAATGGCGTTGTGCGCGGCGCTATGAAAAGCACGTTGTGGAAATAAAAATTCACGGGCCCGGGGCTGGCATTACAAGGAGCTATTTATAACCGATCGACAATAGCTTAGGCTCGGCGCGCGCCTCGACCCGCCCAAACTCAAGTCTCGCGCGCACATTGTGGGCGAAACTACCGCTAGAGCTTCGTGACGTCATCGCCCCGGGGGTTGGGGTGGGAAGGGGGAGGGGGTAGGCGGTGGGAGTGGGGTAAAAAAACGTGACGACGATGGGAGAGGAGAGAGAAGAGAATGAGCGGTGGCTCTTTTTTGTACGCGAAAGATGGTTCAAGTCCGCCGACGAGCGTAACTACTGACGTTGTGGAAAGCGTGTCATAACGAGAGTGAGAGATGCGACGGTGTAGTAACTCTTTACGCGAGACTCACGAAACTTACAGAGTCGTTTTATTTGCGCTCGTTTTATCCCTTCTAGTTCATAAGTCTAACTCCAAGAACTGCGATTAACAATTACAATTTACACACATACGTCACTTTAGTACGGCTGCTGCACATTATAATAATTGACGAATTATTGATTATAAATTTTATGTTAATTTCTATTTTATGAGTATAGGAATTTATCGATACGATATATCGCTAAGTGTATCAAGTTTTGTATCTTGCAAAAATATTGCGAAGCTCAGTATTTGGAATTCCTTACGAACTTCAATGGATGAGCTACATTCTTCGCACCTTAATAGATAATGAGATTGATATTTTAAGATTTTTTAATGCAAGATCGTTTAAAGTTGTACTTACTTAACTTAAGGTGTCGGGAAATAAAGATCGAATAATTAATAAATTGAAGAAAATTTACTAGAAGAACGCTTTTGCTGAAAAATTAAAGATGCCGAGTCTCGTTTATTCGGTTTCACATACCTAATTCTAGGACAATTGTGCTTTTACGCGCAATTTATTATACAACAAATCAATCTAAGATAATAATGATTTTTTTCGATCAGAGAAGGGTTTCTAATTTATAAAATACAATTGCACTAGATAAATGTCATTATTCAAATGTAAGACCTTTAATGTTGCGTTCACTAATTTATTCAGTCACTCCTTTCGGATCATAAATGTATTTTAATATTATATGACTACTTTGCCAAGTTCGAATGTATATTATGCTAAATATAACACTTCTATGTTCTCGCATTAGCAAAATTTAATAATGTATATGTAAATTTTATTTAATACAGAAATGATTTATGTGCGTCGTGTTAGCAAAATCTAGAAATTCATACTATAGAAAGAGAGAATGTAACATTTGCCGTATCATGGCAAATAATCCATGTTAAAGAAACTTTATTGTCTTCGATCAAAGCGACGCAAAAAATTATCTTTTCATTTGGTTTAATTATAAACAGAAATTGTTTACTAATATTTATATCATTTTCTTATACAAACATATAACATGACAATAAATTCTTTATAATTAAATGTCATCAATGTCACACTATGCTTTCGCTAAATTTAGCTTTAAAAAGCAATACAGCAAAAAGCAATTTAAAAATAAAATAAACATTTTTTTTTTAATTCGAGAATGTTATATAATCTTAGTCTTAGATTGAGGTTTTTATATCAAACTATATTATTATTTGCATAATAAATTATTTGTAAAAAAAAAAATTTGCAAAATACTATATACTATTAATAATAATAATAATAATAATGATAATGATAATAACAACAATTACTACTACTACCACCACAGCAAAAACAACAACAATATTGCAAATAATGCAAACTGTAAAACTCATAATATTTTCATCGACATCATAATTATTAACACACAGTCACATACATATCTTTTAACATATCGGTTATTCAACAAAATTCACAGACACTTTAAGACAATATTTTCACCTCTATTCTTAACCATTAAGAAATTTCAAAATTACATCGTCGTTTGGCAAAAATAAAATATAATATGATAAAAATATATAATAGAAAATATATTTTCTTATATTACTAACTTCTAACTTTCTGATATTTCTTAAAAAAAAAAAAAAAAAAAAAAAAAAAGCTCAATTTTGGCATACGATTTTCTTAAGTTACACTTACTTTTTGTAGATTAATGTTAAAAAAAATAATAATATTTGTTATAGTATTTATTTAAATATAATGTTCGATATTTCAATGAAACGAAAATAATGCTTTTAGCTTTTCCATTAAAATTAAATTGAATATTTCGACGCCAGATTGCGAGATAAATATTCGTCCAAAATAAACTTCATTGGTAATGTATTGGACAACAAACGCGAAAATCTTATTCTATTTTATTTTGACAACGTTTCGAGTTATTATTTTAACGTTTTGTAGTTTCTAAGAAGTCAACGTTAAAATGTTTCTAGAACTTTTATTACAATCGCAAGGTACTTCGTATTGGTCAAACGAAAGATAGATATAATTTACGAAGACGCTTTATCCCTTATTTCTCATAAAGTTCTTAGAAATCTTTGACAAATAATTTGCAAAAATAATTACTGTTGAATGCATTAGCCTCTTGATACTAGTTTTACAAAGTTCGTTACGAGTTATTATAAAATTAAATTAACCATCATCATAAAACTTTTTTGTAAAATTAATTTCATCACTTATCACTGGCTAGCATGTACGACGGCATATAATAAATATAATACAAATATTAATTGCTGTCAATATTTAATAGTCGATAATGAAATAAGCATTATTATCCGATAAGATACAATTAAGGATAAGGATAAATCGTACGAAAATCACTCATTAAATTGAGAATTTTTACATTTTTTAGGCTAAAACTTGTCTTTTTAAAACCAAACTCAAAGAGCTTTCGAATCTCTTGTTAATGATATTTCAAGCTGAATACTTTATCAATGAATTGGTATTGATCGGGCACTTGACCGATTATCGATTTGAAATGCTGTATTTAAGTACAAAGTTAAAAGGGGGAAAAAAAAGTCACACTATATTAAAGCGTTTCCACTAAAAATTCAATCTAGTTTATTCAAAATGAAAAAATGATCTATCTCTTAAAAATTTTTATACAACTGATTTTTACATATAGTACACGCGCACGCGCACGCACGTGATAACGCATTTTTATGAACCCATTATTAAAAAATGCATCGAAGCAGATGAATGACATGACAATATATAGACGCAATTGTCGCGTCCATAATAATTCACGCGCCTACACACGACAGCCAGCATAAATACTCATCTGCATACATCCACCGCATGCGTACACACGAAGCATTAAACAATGATCACGCCAAGCGCAAGTGTATTAATACGCTCGGAAAAGCCGTAGGAAGCTAGACAATAAATGCGAAATAGAAGAGTTAGAAGAAAAAAAAAGAAAAAGCAAAGTGAGTTGGAGAGAGATTGAATGTTGAATGAGAGCGCGAGGGCGGGGGTTAGGAGGAGGGAGAAGAAAGGATAAGGGCAAGTCGTCGGGGAATCGACGCGGATATATATAATACAACGCAGACCCCATGAATCCAATTATCATTTAAAGCATCCTGGCTGGAATCCAACTGTTGCGCGTCACTCGAGCGATTGCCGCGAGATGGCGCTAGGTCAAATGCGGCGTTGCTAACTATTATCGGCGAATTTCACAAGCTTGCCCGCGAACGCAGCGAATTTTAATGAATTTCCCAGCACGTTCGGGCCTCCTTTAATATTTCATAGGCTCGCGACGAGATTCCTACGTAGTTAATTAAATGGCTCGTAAAAACGGTGTTTAGTGCGTCGTGGAATGTACGAGGGGCAGCTACCGTGTTACGCGGCTCCGCATAATGTTCCCCACGAAAAGTCCCCGTGGCTTGGAAAATGTCCGCGTTTTTGGTATTTCGTTGTTCGAGAAGCTCTTCAACAGAGGTGAGCTATCTCGTCCGATACCAAGTTCGGGGCTCCGGCCAAAAACGGCCGACCGAACGCATTTTTACGCGATTGCAAAGAAGCGCGCGCGCGATCTGGCAACAGAGCTCCAACTTTTCCTGTTCTCTATTGAACAGCACAGAGATCGAGTGGTGCTACTGCTGCTGCTGCTGCTGTTGCTGATATTTGTGGGCTTGCTGGTGCTGGTGATTTTCGAGTTCTTGCTGCCGCTTTCGTTGATTTTCGTGACATTACTGAGATCGCTGGTGACTCTGACGAGGACAATGGTGGTGGTGCTGCTGGGGCTGGTGGCTGTTGTCACGTAGAAGATATTGGCGACGTAGACGTCGTGCCTGCGGGGGGAAACGCTTGGCTCGTCTGTTCATAGGAGGAAGGTCCTGTGGTCGGCGACGGGCCTTCCGCTCCCAATTACGCGTGGAGATTCTTTTCGCGTCGAGGGAGAAACGTCCGTGTCGCGGTGCGCTACGAAAGCCCAAAGAAAGAAAGAGAGTTAGAGAGAGAGAGAGAGAGAGAGAGAGAGAGAGGGAGAGAGAGAGAGGGAGAAATATAGACTACGAGTGCGTGGATGTATTAGCCCGAGAGACGCGCATCGTCGTGCGAGCAACCCCGGGAAGACGACGACTACGCCGTACGATATTGTATCCAGGTGGTAGGTGATACGCCTCCTTGTTCGACGACTGGTGATTGGGACGATTTTGAATATCTCGTGTGAAAGCAGGCAACCAAGGGACTTAACTGTGGGACCTTTGAGAGATGGTGATGCTCGAGCTGACCTGCTGGACGTTAATGAGGAATAGGACATAGCTCCCTAGGTCGCAAGATCTTATTGGAAAAACTGGATTCTCCAGTTTTCAAGCTGGTGAGATGAAAAGTGCTCCTGTTGAGTGGGACATGGTTGCTGGTTTGCCACTAAGGTGATACAGTGTGTAAGTACAGTAGCCGAAACATGGAGATTCTGAAAAAAACTCCATTTTGATTCAAAATCTAGTGCTGATGATTCATAAAGGACTTTTTTACTTTAAACTCATAAATTATTTAATAATAATGGCAACATATTCAATATAATTCACAATTAATAATGATATTGTGTCCTTTTGAATATCATAATATAAAATTTCAAATTGCACTTGATATTCATTTTTTATTCTTATTGTTCATTTATTCAAAGACATAGAGCTTAATAAGCCTTTATTGTCCAATCCGTATGATTGATTGCCATTGATTGTTCTTTTATTTACTATTACAGAGCCGTGAGTTTATAAGAAACATGCAGTTCATTGTTCTTTCGTAAAATGTATTTTTTGTAAATTCATTCACGTAATGCAATTCATACAAATGCATTGCTTTTGCACAGATAAAATTGAGAATTCTTGTTAATAATTTATATATTACAAGGCTGTCGAATATTTGGATTATTTTATTATTATTAATAAATTATATTTTATTGCTTAATGGGGAGTACGTTTGTTATGAGCATACTATTTTAATAGTTTCGTATAATAATAATAATAATAATAATAATAATAATAATAATAATAATTGTTATTATTATTTTATCAATCGATAATAAACATAATTGAAAAGCTTAAGTAGTGATTTGAAATTTTTTACAGATCAGGACCTATGTCAATTTTATTATTATCCAATGTGTACATCTGATTCTGTCAAGACACAATGTTTGAGCCAAGGATAACTTGATTTTGTTGGACAACACTAAAGCGGAAGTCTCTTCTGCTAATGGTACTTCAAAGATCCAGCAGCTATCCTCCGAGTCCGAAAATGGAGGAACCTGCGAAAAAAAAACAGAGGATCGAAAATGACAGCAATGAAAATGGAGAAACCTCAGAAATCGAGCGACTACAAATCAGCCTCCTTGGTCAATGTTTGTGCAATGTATCCGAAAGTAGCTTGCGCAAGCCATTTACTAATACGAGTGTCTCTACCAATGACAGAGAATTAAGATCGATGGTTCTCTCGGAATGGGAACCTAATAAGTGCCTAGAATTTCTAAGTGCCCTGCAACTTTTATTTGATGTCGCTATAAAGCAGAATACTAGAGGAATAATGTGCGGTCGGATTGCGGATGTGTGCAAGGCTCTTGCAAGAAACGAGCATGGTATCGTTGATCAAATCATTGATTTATCGTGTACTAACAATAAGTTTATATCCTTTGCAGCGAGCAAAGCACTGGCATCCTTTTTTATTATTACTAAAGAGAATGTGGAGTCCTCCTGGCTCGAGAGACTAACGCAATCGTTGGTAAATACTCACTCCCCTACTCAAATGTTATTCACATTAGATGTGGTAAAGAGGGTAGTGGAACATAAAGACTGTGGTATTCATCCATTGGAGGATTCTGAGACATCAAATCCTCCGTCTGGTTGCAATATTATAACTATATCTGATCCTGAAAGTTTAGATAGTACTCCAGTGAAAGCTATGTGTGTTAAGGCTTTAGAATCTAAGTGGACTATTTTGGTTTCCAAGTTTGATGCAATCCTTGGTTCTTACACTCCCCAGCACGAATCTGCCGTTATAACCTTCCTTGATCTTTGGGAGTCCATAATATCAGTTAAAGCTAATTTGTCCGTAATAGACACAAAATTATTTTATTCTCAACTAGATAATTTAGTCGTTCTTTTGAATGCCAATGTCCCTGGTGTTATATGGCGGCATCTCCTTGGATTGTTTAACGAAGTACTGTGCTATGGCAGTACTTTAGCTTTACAAGATGTGTTACCTGATGAGCCGTGCTCACTGGCGCATTTAATTGTCCGCGCAGTCAAAGACTGGAGATTATTAGATTCTTTGCCGTATCGTCATGGATCGGGAAGGTTTGGAGGTGGTTCTGGCGACGGAGATCAGCCTCTTTTACAGAAAGTCGTGCTATTGGTATTGAAAAGTGTCGCTGTTACGGTTAAAGAAACACGTAGTGACTCCAGCGATTCGTCATTGGCTTCAGAGGCAGAAGATTTGGATGCTGACATGGCAGTTATAGAACGAAGTATAAGAGAAGTGCTTAGGCAATTAGATCAGTGCGTCAAATTGTTGATGCCTTTCCATCCAGAAATGCCTCTGTCTCAGTGGGTTGTTCAAATGTTCCATGACCAAGATGACTTTTTAATTGAAGGAATGGTCTGCTGTCTAGACGTGGCGAATGGATTGTTCTATCGAGGACCGCCACAGAATGACTTGGGGAATATGTTGAGCCCCACGCTAACTTTTGTACAGTTCATCAGAGCAGTTTCTCATGATCATGACGTACTGTTGGACTTTCTTGTTAGTAATGAAACGTGCTTTCTATTATATCTGTATAGGTTTCTAAAATACATTAGACGTTTTTGGCCTGAATTTGTATCATGTTGTGGTAGGGATTTAGACGATACCATGGCTGTATTGGCAAATTTAAAACAAGCAATTGATAGACTGGTCTCTAAAGATTTATTTCCATATAATATTAATCCTGTTCTTCGACTGTTAGAAAAGTGCGATTCACTTTACGAAGGCAATATAGATAATTAATTGACTCTTTTGTTATATATGGACAGAAACTACCACCGTATTTAATTTTGAAATAAATTCAGTTTATTTAAACCATAATAATCTATCGCGTATCTATTCCTATATTAATTAATGATTCCTTATCTTTTTGATTTATAAAGATAGAAAACTATTTTTTGAAAAAATATGGTTATAGATAAACGAAATAATCATTTCAAAATAATAAAACGTGTCTTTTCTGCGGTCAAGTCTAGGAGGTGTACATTTTTATAATTAATTGTAATATGCTCTCTTTTATAAATTAAAAAAAAAAGAAGTAAAATCAAGAAAGAACGACGACGAAATACAAGAGTATTTTTTAATTGAAAAAATCAACTCTTCAACTAGGATACCTAAAATTGCGATACACAAACTATGTGTTTTATGGGCAAATACATTGTCGCATCAATAGTTATCGTACATAATGAAGATGTTGAATTTATAAAATGAAACTACGTCAACGAATATTATTAAAAATTCGATTTATTTATTATTTTACAGATTTTATTATAAATAAAAAGTTTTTATGGACCACTGAACTGAATTAGGTCGTAAAACTTTTATGTTCGTAAAAATGCAAATAAATTGCATAAATGTTAGTAGTACAAAAAAAGCATTCTGACAAATCATAAAATAAGAATTTATATCATAAAAATATTACAATGGTGCTATGAAACATGTATATCTCTGCCAAAGCAGCATATAAATATAAATTCTAGTATAATATTTATATTCACATTCAACCAATGCTGTATATCTACGCCTTATCATGTTGTTTCATAGCTCTGGCTTAGGTAAATCTGCGACTCGCATAAAAAACAAAATTCCGGTGATTAGACAGACAGATTATATTATTTTTGTTGCAAAATTGTAGATCAAAAATTCCATTAAAAATAAAGGAAGCATTTAATGTAGATATAATCGGACAAATATAAATGTCATGAATAAAACGAATTTTAAATATAAAATTAATTATGCTTTATTGTTTTACCGTGGTTGAGTGAATAAAGTAATTGGATACTTTTCTTTCAAACATGACAAAGGTAAAATTTCGAAATTGGATGTCTTCGTAAGAAAAATCGTTAATCGTCAATTATTTTTAAGCTGGAATGAGTAATATATCATATTGTATTTTTTCTGGAATTGTAAAAAGTTTTTATATTTTAAATGTGAATGCGAGTGTGAAAATTGTATGAATAAATTTTTAAAAACGAAATGTTTAAAAACTAAAAGCAGACCGTAATGTAAATTATTATTTATACATATTTTACAAAGCTTAATTTTTTAGGCTATAAGTAACTATTATTTTAAATTAATATTATAATAATAAAACGACAATGAGAACAACTAGAATAGTATATTTTTGGATAAAGGATTTACCTTAATAACTGCAGATATATCGTTTTATACCATACGCACTAAAATTAAATTGATATAAATAGTAAATTGTTAGAGATAAAAATCTTTTAAAATTGTATATTGTCATTTATTTATAATGTATATATGCTTGGAGAAAAGAAATTTATATTGAGATTTTTTAATAATAATAATTTCAATAAATAATTCGTGTCTCGAGTATCCTATTAATTTTATTCCCTTAGTAAGATCATCAGAGTGTTTAAAAAATTGTTTTTTTTTTTGTAATATTTTAAGGATAACAAAACAACAGCTTTCTAAAATTGTAGAAATATTAAAACGCCCATAGTATATTACAATTTAACAGTATAAAACAATTTTTTACTAATTCAATTAACAAAAAACGTAGTAGCCTGAATTGAAGAAATTTTACTTTCCATTAATTACAGATATTTGCTAAAAACGCGTCATTGTATTAATTTTCAGTTTAAAGGTAAATAAATAATTTTACAGTTTTCTCTGTTAAAAATTATTTTATAAAACATTTTACCAGTATTATTAGTATTACTTATTTCTAATAATTTTGATTAATATAAAAAAGAAAATTTAAAGTTGGGTTACAGGTTAATTATTTTCTGCATTAAGCCTGCTTGTTAGAAAAGTGGTTAAATTAAATTTAATGCCCTTGATTATTGTTAAGATTTAAGATATTCATAAGAAATATTTGGTAACATCCATTGCGCACATTATTCATTATATTAGATTTGTATATGATTTATGTTCAAATTTACATGTGTATAGAAAAATTTCTGATTCTACAACTAGTTAACGATTAGATTAGGCTATATATATATATATATATATATTTCATGTTGAAAAATATTAAGACAGTACAGGTGGAAATACTGTAAGTGACAAGAACATGTAAAGAATACAATTAGTCCATTACTGGTTTTGTCTGCATTGGGAATTTCATATTAGTTTAAAATTTCCATGTAAATATAGATATTTGCAACGTTAAAATTAAAACATATATATTCGCCTTTACGTGGAAAACATTATCCAATAATGACACAATAAAGAATTTTTGCATAAACAATAAGTATCATTTTTTTTCTTCCACTTCATTGCTCTCTGTTCTTTATCTTACAAAATGCTTTCTACTTTATTGAAAATTTCGTGTAAATATATTCTAAAATTCTCTAAGAGTCGAACATTAAAATTGGAGTTCTAAAAATAATTTAAAATTTATTCCAACATTTCTTACAAAAGTTTTCTTTTTATTGTTTTACAAACTATTCAAATAGAATGAAAAAGAAAATTCATGTATACATTAGCAATTATAATTTTAAGAGCAACAATGTTCAAATTTGTACATGTGTTTATTAAGTAATTTCACTTAAAAAGATAGTTCATTGCTTATAAATTGCTATATAGCGAATCACACAGTAAATTTGTATCTATAACTGGAGTTTATATAATCTACATAAGGTATTTTTATGAGCATTCAATGCGAAACGCAACTTCCGTTATAAAAATATAATTATCCAAAATCTTGAAAATTAATCTAATAAATATGTATTATATTAAAATCAAAAAAAAAAAAAAAAAAAACAAAACAATGAATCGACTATCACATCTTAAACTAAAAGAAAACTAAATATGCAATCATATTTACTCAATTAAGTGTGTATTATTTAATAATTTAGGGTTTTAAAAAAATAAAATATAGCAGTCTTATTGCATTTTACAGACTTAATTCTTTTTAAATACTTAATTAATCAAAATAAAACGAAAAATTTCTATTAATATTATTCAGATAATTGCATTATTTTTACATAATACGTCTTATGAAATGATATTAATTTCGTTTTTGTTTAAACATTGTTAGAAAACTTAATTCATTGTGCTTCACAGTGAAGATCAATTTATACCCTTTTCTAAACTCCTATGATTATTCAAAGACCGGTAGGTCAGAGAGTTCAGCCTAGTCAACATAAGTCGTATTACGTATGCTTTATACATTATATTCATACAGTATTATTAATTATTGACTGATTTGCTACGTATCATAGTCTTCGTCGATGTTACCAGTACAAGCGAAATTTGACACTGGTTGACTGACTGAATTATTTCTTGACATACTATCACTTGGATTACTGTTCACTTCTGTGTAAAAATTTGGTTGGCTAGCATTAAACGATGTAGGCACAGACATTTTAAACTTTGGGACATTGTATGTAAATACTGTTTCGTTGCCCTCAATTGGCTTAGCTAGTTTAGTTTTATCTCCTTTATCAACTGAATGCCTTCGAGGAGGGACATGTGTACATGACGAGCCATCCTTAGATACACTGTAATAAAGAAAATATAATTTGTAGATTAATGTAAACCAAAGGCAAGAGTTTTATTATAATTTCAGTGTATTAATTACAACTTGGTATTTGAATGATTCTGAATAATATTTGTAAATATTATTTTTAAAATATAAATGCTTATAGACTTTTAAACAAAATATTTATAAAATATGCATTTATAAGCATGAAAATTTTAGTACAAAAATGTCAATACCATGTAAAATCATTATGTTAAAGTAAAATAAAATTGGAGCATTTGCATTCGTCAAGATTGGATATAAATCAAATATATCGATACTAACGTGGATGCTCCGGTATTTGATTGTGCTACAGGAGCAAAACTAGGTACTGTTGTATTGACTGAGACTGCCTGCGTCGCCGGAGTTGTAGGTGGTGTATGAATTACTTCATCATCTGGTCCAGAAACGTCTGGTAAATTTTTAACAAGATCTTTCAAAAAATCAAAACGACTTTCAGAAAGAATACATTGTTTCCTAAAACATTATTTTTGAAAAGCATTAATTCTAATTACATAAGTAATTGGAAGGGAAGATTAATACTAACATGTGAGAAGGACTCAATGTTTTTGCTTGTTTTGCACTTGTGATTTGCATAGTTTTGGTAAGTAATGAGTGAACAAATAGTTCTAACGTTCTAGGTATATAAGTGGTTAAGGAATTTTTCACATAATATATCAATAAAGAGAGAAAGATATATTTGAAATAGTAGTAATATTATTACCGTGAATTTTTAATAGAAAATAAAAAAAGTACTTTTACAATTATGGAATATGGATGTAATGAAATGTAATGAAATATAAATAAAAATATAATAAAAATATAAATATAATGAACATGAGATGCATAATTATTAAATAAAACAAAATGTTCAATGTAATAAAAATCAATACATTGCATTTCAATAGATTTTCCTTAAAGTATTAATACCATGACTAAAGATAAATGAACCTTAAAGTGACATTAAAATTTTCCACTATGTATGATTAAAACTTAATTAAGCTTAGTTAAACAAATTTTAATCACACGACTTAACCCATTTAAAAGTTCTATTGAGCACAATGTATTATTAAACGCCTCAAGATAACGAATACAATTTATGACAATTTAATGTTCTTAACATCCATTGTTCTAATTACATTAGACCATCACCTTACCCTTCGGTAAAACCTCTAGTCAATATCAGTAGTTGCAGTGTCAGATTATAAAAAGGATATAAATTATGATCGGCACCGCTTGAGCAACTTTCCCCACCTCCTCGTCCGTTTGCATAATTTTTTTTATACGACCCTGCAAAAGTAAAAGGAGTGAAAAAACGAAGAGAAGAAAGAAAAAAAAAAGTGAGGTTAACAATTTCTCAAGAGACAAAAACGACACACACCGCTTGCAAGGCATATTGTACGGGGGGTTGCGTACGTGTGCGCGCGTGTGTTGCGTGACGTGAGTGAGTGAGTGAGTGGGTGAGTGGGTGGGTGCGTGCGAGCGCGCGCGCGCGCGCGCGCTTCTGTATAACAAGAAGATAACGAGTGGTGGAGGATGAGGAGGAGGAGGAGGAGCAGGAGGAGGAAAAAGAGAGGATGACGAAGAGAAGCAATACTGAGCCTTGGGTAATGATTTCCGGGGCACAGGTCGACGGCAGTCCCAGCGAAAAGGCTCCGTTGGGGCCACTGTCACTGCCTGCTCGTAGTGCGTAACTCGACAACAAAACACACGGACGGTCAACACACTCACAGGTGGAAAACGAGCGTTGTATTTTTTCTTCTTGCTGGGCATTTTAGCACCTCCTTCGTGGTCGTTGTCGTTGTCGTCGTCGTCGTTGTCACAACGGATCCCCCTCGAGTGGCGATCGACGTAGTGATGAAACGTTACGGACAGAAAAATGTAGCGCTTGCACGCACGCAAGTTAGACTCTCCCGTTACAAGTTCAACCCCTCGGCAAGGCACACACGATGATCGCCGTCCACTCTCGAAAACACTCCCGAGCGCGACCGAGGGAGGGCGAGCAGGAGGTGGATGAGGAGGTTGCGGAGCGGGACGTGAGGCAGAGAGACGAAGAGAGCTTGAGAGAGAGAGAGAGAGAGAGAGAGAGAGAGAGAGAGAGACAGAGAGAGAGAGAGAGATAGACAGAGATAGAGGTAGATAGCACGACTCTGCTGAATAGAGCGGAGTTGAGTAGAGTGGGGTGGAGTGGGGCGGGGTAGAAACGGTCGGGACGCGACGGGTCGGGTCGGTTCTCAACGGGTCGGAGTGCGGGGTGTGGTGTACCGATGTATGGCGTGGAATGGCGGGGGATGGCGACGTCGGGCGGAAGAAGATAGAGAAGAGGAAAATGGTCCGTTACGCGCGTCCACTTACTCGCGCGTGTCCGTAGACGCACGGCGCACTCTTTGACAAGGCAGGAACAATGGATCGGCAGAGAACGGAGTGCGGACGAGGAAGTGGTGAACCGCCGTGCGCTCTCCCGAGAATTCAGAACAGAACGTATCGGTGCAACATTCCAGGATTGCGCGCGCCAACTAGCTCCGCTCGGACGCGCGTCCGCGTTGTATTATGCGCGAACGGGCCACTTGGGTCGCGTATTTCACCGGGGCCGTGTGCATGTGTGCGCCGCCACGCATGTATATACGAGCGACGGCTGTCCGCCGCCCGGGCCGTAGTGGCTGGCGTGGCGGAGGAGAAGGAGGAGGACTCGAGCCGATCGTGGAGCCCCGCTTCGCGCGATGATGTACCGCTAGGCACTCGGTCCGAGCTTGCGTGCGCGCGTGCGTCCGGGCGGGTGAAAACTCGGCGCCGCCCGTGTGTGTGTACGCGTACACGACTCCCGGAGACCCCGCGGCGGCGATGACTGGGAGCGGTGCGCTCACCCGTCTTCGGCGCTTATTATGTACCTGAGGGCTGCGGTAGGCCTCTCGTGCCATGTGTTTCGATTTTAGCCATCGTAGTTATTATCATCATTATCATTATTATTGTTATCGCTATTATTATCGTCGCTATGATCGTTGGCTGCTTTTTGCATTTCTTGAATGGAAGTTGGATATGCATTTTTTGAAGATGAGGGTGGCGTTGGGAGACGATCGTGACGCTGCCGTGGGTATCGTAGATCGAGATCGCACTTTTATTGAAATTAAATTAATGTCACGTTTAGGCTCCTAAGGCTGGCACATCGTTCGTGAAATATTAATGATTATGGGTAATCCACGGTCGTTGCGCTTCATTGAATGGAATCTCTATGATCCCAAGGTTGATAAATAATAATTTCAATTTTCCAATATGATGTTTTATAAAAGATTCCTCTCTTTTTCATTTACTTTGACTAAGATTAAAGCTTAGATCACATATTGAATTGCTAATGCCGGTTTGGATTAAATTAATCGAATAATTATTCACAGTTGTGGGCTCGAGCACAATCGAGTCTATTAATCACGGATAATTATAAATAATCGCATTTAGTATTTCGTATTATTCGAGAAGTGGATGAAATGTACGGTTATTAGATAACGGGGAAATGCGTAAAACGAAGTACACATGTATAACTTGAGTCTTTACGTAAGGAAGAGGAGGGAGACGAGAAGTAACGAGGCAATTGCGGCATAGTTAGGTTAAGGGGGGGGGGGGGAATGTAGTTTGGTAAGTTTCGCAATTTCTGTCGAAAAAATAAATTTTACTGTTAAATTTAAATTGCAAAGATAACGTAGCGAAGTTAGGAAACGTTCAGGATAATGATTCAAATATATGAAACTAGAATTGATAGAATTACGCAAATGTTTATTTCATTTGCATTATTTTTAAAGATAACCGATAAAATTCAGCTAATTACAATTATTACTATCGAAATTCTGTATCATTCATATACTAATCATATACACATGTTTTCATGTATAATTCAATCAATCTTTATACTCTGCAAGAAAATAATAGTGCAGCCATTATATGATTACTTTAACAATATCAAAAATATTATCCAAATTCAATAATAAGGTTTAAAATTCTACCTTTTAAATGTTAATTTAAATGATGTGTAATATATATATATATATATATATATATATATATATATACATGTAAAAAATTTTATTTCTTTATATTTGCATTAATATATAAGAGTAATTTTCAAATAAGCAAAATTTATTTGTAGAATTGTAAAAAATCATCAAAGTATAAAGATTAAAAATTTATTAGCAAAGGCAATTATTTATATAAGGTCAAGTTTGAAGATAAATTTTGTAAGGCATACATAGATAATGTTCTATGTAATTTCAATTATCATTGTTTCAATAAATTTACAAAGTTATGCTATTTGAAAAAAAAAAAAAAAAAAAAAAATTTTCTTATAAAACACATACGTATAGAGTTATATAATTAAAAAATAAAACGAAATAAAAATTTAACGAAGATCTATTTAATGAAATTTTTTAGCAAAAATTAATTTTTATATAGTCAAGCTCCTTATGAAAAATAAATGAAAAAATTTACATATGAGTAAGTATTAAAATTCTTTCGTCGATTCTCAACTCATTTAACAATAAATGCTCATATGCAAATGCATACTTTATTTTTGACTCTATTTTTATTTGTTGGTCATGTGTGTGTATTTGGGGACACGTGTTGTGCGTAATTAATTAGATACAGTGACCTGTATGATTTTGATTGAAGCGTTAATATAGGCTTTAATTCATAGTAACATTGTAGATATCTTATTAAAAACTCCATGTTTGTACAACATTTGATAATTTTATATTGTTCATGGCGTTTCATTCAATCAACTTTATGCTTATATTTATTTTGATGCCATATTACGATATTATTATAAAATTTAATAAATGTATTAAATTAATAAATATTTGTGGTTAAGCGTCAAGTAATCCAATTTTCATTAGTGGAGTAGTACACTTTTATAATCTTAGTTTCCAATAATATTTATATTGCTACAGATTACAGTGTTTTAAAATAAATACTGTAAAATATTATAATTTACTGAACAATATGAATCAATGAATTTTAGTTTATTGTATTAATTTTCTTCGTATATTATTATTATAATTTGGGAATCATCACATTAAACGATATAAAAATAATGATATCGGTTAATATGAATTATTATAATTGTTTAGAATCAAATTTGTTTATATATCTAATTGTTCATTTAGATAAGAATATGAAATACAAAGCTGAATCATAAAAAGAAACATAAAATAATTAATTTATAATTTATATATATAAATATTTTGTGTATTTATTTATCAATACAATTATAATGCTGATATATAACAATACGGAGAATTACCGGTAAAATCTAATATTGCGAGCAATTTAAAAATTGTAAATTAAAAAATTGATTACTATTGCTTTAATACGTACTATTTTTACGTTTAAGTCCTAACAATAAAATTTGAATAAATCAGAAATATTGATAAATATTTGTAATATTTATTTAAGATGAAGAAATCGTAAAATATACATAATCTTTTAACTCTAATATATGTATTTAAATGCCCATGCTTGAAAATGATTTATAGCAAAAACACACACACACACACACACACACACAGATATCTTTCAATTTCATTTACAATCATATAAGCTTATAGTGTATTTATCCTCTTGAATTATATTACGGGTTTAAAAGCTCATAATTAATTTATTGCCCAAACTAATCTTGAGAAATGGAACTCACAAAATCTCTTAAAATAATTTATCAAAAAATTATTATAATTTTCTTTCTTATAATTAAACATTGCTTTTCTATAATAGAATAAAATTACCATTCCTATATGAAATATACAATTATATTCTTCGAAAATTTCGTATTAGAATTTATAATTAATTCGTAAGCTTTTATTATAGGAAACAAGCAAATGTTTGAAAAAAAAATATTCAATCTATTTGATGTTTAAAACTATGTAAAATATATTTAAAACATACGAATTAATTATTACTTATGCACATAACGAATATTTTAAAGTAGTATACTTTGATCGTATAATGCATATAATGCATAAATAAAATAATGAAATATTTCCATTAATGAAAGCTAATAGTTATTTCCTTCTCTTAGCATAATCAAGAGAACTTTATTGCTTGCAAAGAGCCCGCAATAATTTCTAATGTTAAAACATTTCACTATAGGCTTAATGCGACAAGATGGAAAGAATCGATCATTGAAGAGAACAGCTGATCATCTCGTTATGATCTTTGTAGATTCAGTTGTAATATTGTAGTATAAATTTCTCGACAAATTTATACGAATTCGTACGTTAATATAGTAAGTTAGTTTAGAATATATTTAAGTTGAATTAACCAAATTCAATTTATGCATTATATATAAAGGCAATATGGAAGCAGAGCTCATACAAAATTTAAAAGATATAGGGTAAGATTTTGAGGTTATATGTTCCTTATGATTTTATCAAATTTGTTAACGTGTCTTATATCATAGACTGAAGAACCATATAGTTATTTTATTTTATTATGTAGTCGTTGTATTTCTAAATCATTCTGAATTTGATTAAATTGAAATTGCAGGTATGCTGGGCCTCTAATTGATCCCATAAAATTTAACGAGGCTCTTCAAGGAGGTGCAAAATCACTGGAATTCACAAGCCTCGTATCATGGCTAACTTATGAAATTGGATCTTTTGAAAACTTGGATGACACTGTACATCCTATAACGTCGCCAGATGATGCCAATTCCTTTCTCGAAGAATTAAATATATTTCTAAAAGAATTAGACTGTAGAAATGAAAAACTAACAGAAGGTGGTAAAAATGAAAAATTAGCCAGTATTCAAGAAAATGAAGCTCTTCTCGAATATTTAATAATAGAGCTTATGTCAAGTAAAATATTAAAATCTAGAAATTTAGACACACAGGATAAATCAATGCCAATTGTAAGTGGATGAAATAAAAATTATATAAATTATTTTAACTACAAAAAAAATACATATTCTTAAAAAGAGTATTTGAATTTTTAACTAAAATAAATTTTGTTGTTTGTAAAATGTCGATAAATTATGTAATTAAAATTAATTTCTTTACAAGTGGAATACAATGTTAATTTATATTAAATCTTTTGCATTATATTTAATTCTTTTTTTTATTTTAGACGGAAAGCACAACAGCTAAAGTTATACGAGAAATGATATCAGCATTAGATTTTACAAAACCTCCTGAAAATATTACAGCCAACTTATTTTTCAAGGATATACATGGAAAAGTAACACAAATACTTCAAAAAGTTCCTAAGAATCTTGTATGTAAACCACTATTCTTTGGAGAATTAAATGCAGAGCAGTGGCAAGAGTTAGATAAGTTACATGCCGATTTAAATGAAGAGTACACAATACGGCGAGAAATGTTGTTACAGCGGTTTGATGTCACAATTAATTCATTTTTGGTATAGATATTAGCTTATATTTTAATTATCTCGAAATTTCTGAAACGAGCTTCAAACCGTAATTGGTATTATTATCATATACTTTCATAAGTACGTTTATTACAGTGGTCAGAAAGACTTAAAGACAAAGAACGTGAAGTAAATGAGTGTTACAAGGCACAGCGAAAACTCATGAAATGTAAACCTGATGTTACATTCGCTCATCTTTTATCAAGCCGGGATGACTTAGCAATAATTGAAAAAACGAGTAATGCTTCAGTGCGTAAAAATACTCGTAGTGCAATTAATTCATATATTATTGGATCAGTGCCTGATAGAGGAGGTAGAACAACAGAGCACGAACCTCCGCCACCAGAAACATTTAAACAAAATACAAAAGGGCAAGGTTCAAAAAGGTATGAAATTATTTAATTATTCTGCTTATTCAATATCTTAATTACTTCTTCATAATGCATTGAATAAATCAAAGTAAAGCATTAATTAATTCTATTAAAATTTAATGAAGTATCTATGAAATTATTCGTGAAAATAAAAGATATTGTTTATACATCTCCATTCAGCTGCAAATAAAATTCAGAATCTAATTTTTTTATCTCTTTGAAAGATCCTTATATTACGGTAAACACATCTATAATTATTGAAATTTTCAAATAAAATTTCAGTCAATATAACGATAGTGGACGTTATAAACGAGATGGCGATGGTAATAGTAACAGTGGTGGCAAGTTTCGTGATCATAAATTGGCAGCTTCGAACTTTGGGCAAAATTTTGATAATCCGGCCCAAGGCTCTAGTTTTGGAAATCAGGACTTTAGTTTCGGGACTCAAGTTAGAAAGAATTTCCATTACAATTCAAATCCAAATAAACATTTTAATTATGGAAATCAAAGTTCATCCAGTTATAGAGGAAATCAAAGTGGATGCTACGATCAATATTCTGCATACGCGGATCAAAGTACAAGTGGCTACAATCCAAATAGTGGTTATGAAAATCAAAGGGGTATTACTATAACTATATTTGCTATTTAATATTATAAATTTTAATATCACTGTTTTTGTTTAACTTAATAGAAACTTTATTGAAGAAATAAAATTACAAATATTGCACAATCAAAATTTATAAAATTAAATAATATAAATTTGTATCACTATATATATGTATATTTATATATATATTTAAGTTTCTCTATAAAAAAAAATTATAATTATTTATAATTAAGCATAATTATAAATTATTGAAGAAAGCAAATATATTACTAAGTATTTTACTAATTGACCAAACATAAATTAATTAATAAAGTTAAAAAATTTTAAAAATAAAATTTTATTCTGAGATTTTCCGAACAACATAGCGTAAATATGTTTCAACTTAAGTTAAAAAAAAAACAATATTAAACATTGATTAACATAGTTAAAATTTATATAAAGTTTGCTCTAATTTTATTATTAATTTTTTTTTATTAGGTTATAACAATAGAAGCGCAGGTGGTTACAATCGAGGTGACCAAAATAGGAGTCGCAGAGTCCAAGGAGGTTGGAATCAAAACTTTGATACAGATTTTTCAAGTGGCAATACGAATAATTATTATGGTAACCATCAAATGCAGGAGAGAGGTCGAAGACATTAATAAAGCTATAATTATTGGATGAATCGAAAAATTTTTTACATAAAAGTAATTATAGTTATTAAATAATTTATTTTTAAAAATGTATTAATTGAGAACCTTGTTAAAGGTATTAGACTATATATATTCAAATAGGTAAAAATATACAAGTTTGTAACAGTTTTTTTCAGTTTGTCATAAACATTAGATTAGATTAATGTAACTAAATAATTATTGCTGAAAAAAGGATGATCCAGATTTTGTTTTAGATACATAAGTAACAATTTGATCATTAACTCGTTTTTTTAAGTGATTAGAATTATTTGTAATTACTTTTCTTTTTCTAGTTTCCACGTTATCTGAATTTTGATTAATTTCTTTTTGGAGAGTCGCTGCTATATGATAGTCATTATGTTCATCAAATTTATTTATTACAATTAATTGATGACATTGTGGACACTTTTTGAATTCTTTCAAATCATTATTTACGGCAGTATTAATAAAAAAAGTTTCAATATTTGATTTTTTATTTTGAGATTTAGATTTAAATAATTTTCCTTTTGAGTTTTTATTTATTTTTTTATCAATAGCTTTATTTAAAGTGACATTTTTTTCATGCACTTCTGTTGTTTTTAGTAGTTTTTTAACTTCTTGTTGTAAATGTGATGGTAATAATCGAACAATGTTGATATCTATATCATTTAGATCGGGAAAAATTTCTTCAATTCCAATGGTCGTTTCATCATTACCATACATTGAACTTTTTTGTTTTTTTTTATCAGATTTTTTTGTAATATTTTCACTACTATTTTTGATATTATCATTGTTATTTGGACGTAAATCCTCATTTGAAGTAGTATTGCAATCATGAATCTCAAAATCATGTTCACGTGTATTTGTAATTGAATTCAAATGATCTGTTTTAAGTTTTTCTTGAGTTAAAATATTCATAAAGAAAGATTTTTTAAAATTGTCCGATTTTAAAGAATGCTGAATAATACTGCAAGGAGATGATGTCTTATTCTGTTTTATTTCAACAGATGAGGACTCTAAATTTTTATTCTTTGTCGTTTCGTTTATTATATAATCATTGCTAATTTTGTGTTTCTCGTTTCTTTCAGTCTTATTACAATTGACATTCATCGAATTTTTTGTTTTCAAATTATCATTAACTTCGCTTATATCGGTATTTGATATAGATGTACAATTGTCGGTTGCATTTGATTTAAAAAAATTTATAAAATTTTCACTTCCCTTAGCTTTTATAAATTTACTAGTTGAAATTCCTAAAAACGAGATTGGTTGGTGCGTAGCTTTAGTAACTAGATTGAAACACTGTTCTGAAATTTTTTCTGGTTTATAGGAAGTTAATGGACAAGAGCGAGATTGTGACACTGAAGTTTTATTTTGATAATAATGAAAACTAACTGTTAATAGCGATGCCTTGCGTTCATTTTCTTCTAAATCTTGTTCAAGTCTTTCACATACTTCTGCTGATAATTCAGAAAGCCAGTGTTTAAGCTATATGTATTAAATAAAATAATATACAAAATCAATGATCATTGAGAAAAAAAAAAACTTTACACTCTAAGTACTGAATATATTAATAGTAAGGTTTTTATGATTTTTATATTATTCAAACAATGATAAAGCGATATTAAACAAATTTTTTGATTATTTTGTATGAATTATTGTGCTCAAAAATAAACATACTAATAAATTAATACTTAATAATAATAATTACTTACGAAATCTTTATCAACAATAGCTAGTTTTCCTGGGAAATTTTTGCAAGCTCCTATAGATTTAGAAACTAATCTTGGAGTTACCGGTTCATTATCTATACCTCGAGCTATATTATACAATCTTAATCTGCTTATAAATATAATTATATTTAATAACTATAGTTATTTCAATTATCCTAATATTATTAATATTTTCATTATGACTAAAACAAATTATTCACTCACCCTGTTTTTTCATCAAAATGATTTTGAAGATACGACAAAGAATAATGTAGAAGGTCTGACATAACATTACATTGTAACGAATCAATGACGATATCGCCTAATTTTCCTCCAAGATTTCTTACTTTTTTTATAGGAAGCGTTGAAAACAAATGAGGGATTGCGGAAGACGATAATATAGTTTGACGATTAGGCTTATGGAGCCCACATGCTAGCTTAGCTAAAATCTAAAATTAATGCTTTTAAGAATTGAAATAATTTAATATTTATAATGGTTTATTAATTTTAAAACCTTATTAAATGAAATTCCTGCCGAACATTTAAAACCAGTAGTTTCGTATATTTCTTTTCTTAAATTTTCAACAAAAGCACCAGCAATTGATAAGCGTTGTACTTGAGTATCTATTGATAACGTAGACAGCCAAGTTTCAAGACCTTTACTTCTTTCCTCTATAATTTTCGATGAAATGTATATTATACACGTACATTATACAGATTTATATTTTAAGTAAAAATTGTAACCTTCATTATTAACACCACTTTCTGAATGTCCAACAATAAATGTATTTTTTAATTGTAAAATGACATCTTCATAATCATTGAGTTTATTAGCTAATTTATCATCTACAATTTGTGTTATATCTAAATAAGCTTCATCAACGCTAGCTCTTTCAATTATATTACAATTTTTCTTTAATACTTCAATTACTTCACGTCCAGCACTTCTATATCTATAAAAATACAACTTTATTTGACTAGCTATAACTAAAAAATATATTCCATTCAAAAAAATAATATGAGAAAATAATTTAATTATATTATTTTTACACAAGCATATGTTATTACTTAGAAGTATCTGCTTTTCCTCGAAGACATGGAACACTTACTAACAAGAGTTCGGGGCACTTCAATTTTGCTTCTTCACCACGCATATGACGAGTTACCCCAAAATCTCTAGCTTCATAATTTACAGCAATAATACTAACATAAAAAAAAAAAACAATACTTAATCGAATTAATGTTATTTTAATAAATAAAATAGGATGAGAAAAAAAATTTAATTCACCCTCCTAGTTTCCATTGATTATATTGCACCACAGCTAAAGGTTTTCCTGCTATATCAGGTTGTAATCTTGTTTCAACTTGACAATAAAAGCAGTCCATGTCAATTAAAATCACAATACGATTGCCAAAATTCGTCATATTGCAAATACAATAATAAATATGTATTCTCTACAATATTAACTGAACTTTCGTTAAGAATAAACAATTCGCTCTTTTATGCTCCGAAAACAGCATAAGTTTAAATTCAAGATAATCAGCTGACAATAGCAATTGTTGACTATTGCTTTCTTTTCCCGCGCCTTCAATCGGTATGCGCATGCGCATAAACACGTGTTTTGTAATCGTGAGGATTGGCCGATAATTTAAAACTGATTAAAAGCCAAATAACAACGGCAATTTAAAATTAAAATATTTACATTTCTGTTGATATTATTTCTGATAACAGAGTTTTACATTCGCACATTACTGCGTAAATTGTGAGTGCGCATGTGCGCACGCGCGCATAAGGTAAGGAAATGAAACAAGAGTTAATATAAAATCAGAATTTAGTTTGCATGTTTTATATTTTCTAGATAGTACGAAAGTCCATATATACATATGTATGTATATGCGTTTGCATATTCAAACACATGTATGCATGCAAAATACTAACATAGTACAGTATGTCGTATCTTACATATACAGAATGTACATAAATATATATATAGATATATAGATGCCGGGATTCATTTTATACAAAACAAATATTTGAATAAAAAAAGTTCTACATAAGTTTAAAATGGAAGGTTGTTTTAATATTCAAAGTGTTAGATGCAATAGATTAATGAGCATTCGGCATACTTATCTAACGGCATGTAAAGAAAATGAGCAGATACTTCCCGTCGTATTGCTGAATCACTTTCACCTTTATTCACAGATTACACTATTTTTATTTAGATTATTTGAATTTCACGGATACAGTGGCCGATAGTACATTTTACTTCGACATCTGTGTTACACATTTATTGAAGTTTTAATGCGTGTAAACTTAGATAAAAAATAGAATAAACATATATTTATTCGGCAGAGCAGAATGTGCCGCTCTTGTATTTTAAATATCTAGTTTTATTAACGATCTTATAATATATATCTCAAGTCTTCATTTAGTACATGTATATTAAATACCCTGGCCGAATAAACATGTACAATAATGACATTTTTTGTCACTCCAATGCCACGAGCATAAGATCAAGGATTTTTTTAAGGAATGGTGCATTACCAAATGTGATGTACACGCAGGCTAAAAGTCATGATAATCGATCATAATTGCGTGATCGTTCATTTCAAATTATTTTTTATATTATCTCTATATAATTTGCTAATCAATAACTAGAAATAGTACAAAACAATTGGATTCTTTAGATATTTCATTATAAATATACTAATGATTAAACACCAGGTACAGACAAATTTATTTATCAAAACACTTTGGCAAAAGAATTGACAAAATATTTCTATAATAAATACCTAGTAAATAAAATTACTTTTGACGCTATTTTATTACAAAACGTTTAAATTTTAAGGACCAATTATTCAGACACCTAATGTACATAAATCGAACGATTATACATCCATTAAAATTTATTAATTTTCAACAAAGTTTTTCATTATCTTGAATATTACTGTGTTTCTGGAAAACACTTTTTTTTTTACTTTTAGTATCTTTCGAAAATCTGTATACAAAATGGTATAATTATAACTCACAATGGCGTTATTTTTCAATTAAAGATTGATTAAAGAATTAAATATAAAAATTGACACATAAAAATTGACCGAGTTGCGAGATCTAAACATTTATATAATTTTAATATAGTGTAAAATTTCTAACAATTTATATCTATTCATGTCTTAATAATACCTTACATTAGTGCATTATTCAATTAAATTATTTTCTATAATAAATGTTATATTTGCGTTATTAATACAATGATATAGTATGCAAGATTGATTAAAGAATCGATCGAAAGTGTTCTGAGAAAACAGTTCGTCAAGTTGATCATCGTGAACCTCATGAAAATATTATATAAATGAATCTATGAAAAATCGCAAAATGTTTAAAATACAGTGTAAGCATATATAGTTAAAAATATGATTTATAGTATATTTAATTGTTTTAAAATGTTTTGAAGCTTACATGCATAAATTCATGAACAAACATCGTACAAACAGTACAAAATAAGACTATTTAGAAAAATATACGAAGCTAGTTACTAATATTCGTTAACAATTATATATGAGTAATAAATTTTCTTTAAATTTTTTTATGCTGTGGTCAGATATCGCTTTCAATTCTTATATTAACGTTCGAACGGTAATGGGCTACAAACATTTTTTCAACTTTCCACAAATTCTATGTAAAATAGACCTCTAAGATCCTTGTAAAAAATGTACACCTAAAAAAACGTACCGCTTATTTAATTTAAAAAGAAAAACATAATTAAGATAGAGTGAAAGAACGAGAAAGACGAGGAATGAGGGATTAAGGGACAGAGAGAGAGAGAGAGAGAGAGAGAGAGAGAAAAGAAAATTAAAAGAAAAGAGAAATCTCTTCAAACAGGACTTGCTCATAACTCGAAAAAAATGCACAAGTTTTAATCTTTTAGAAATAAATGCTACAATATATTTGAAATATTGTCTATCGAAGGAAATTGAAAAAGATCACTTACTTAACTTTATACACTTAAAGTTATACGAAACATTTTGAAATTCTTAAAAGCATAACGAAGAAAACGGAAGAATGAACGAAAAAAGAGACGGAGGATTAAAAATCTTTCAAACAGAACTTTTAGAAAATTAAAAATGACATTATATTCATGTATCTTCCTGCTCTTTCTTTCCTAAGTATCTATAAAATGCTTAGGAAAATGTTTTGCAGTTTTTGATAAAATACGAAAGATTTGCAAAGCTCGACATCTCTCAGGACTTTCAAACAAACGTGTCGGACATTTTTTCACCCGGAAAAATATACAAGTGAAACTCGCAAAGGATGCCGAGTATCGCAATAGATAATACAAGCCATAATCGAGAAGAATGTGTAAAAAGTTTAAAAATAACACGAGCATCTATCATTCGGTAGCAAATAAAATTCCAGATTCGAATTCGAAAATCCGAAGCCGACTAGGAAAGTCGTGTTCAAGCTGTACTCGAGAAAGGTATGTTTGAAAAGTATCGCTTTTACGCAATTACGTTGGCTCGCGCCCACGCTACTGATCGGTCGAGTTGACGACGAGTGGCAGTCGTGCGGAGCGGTGAGCTGGACTGGTGAGGGGGCGGGAGAGGGGGAGGGGGAGGGGGGTAGCGCGCGTTCACAACGAGTATTTGGGTGCGTCGACGAGCGAGAGGCTCGAGGAATGGAAGCGCCTGGTAGCGGCGGCGATGGGGCTCGCGGGTGCCGACATCGAGAGGGCCGAGTACTGTTGGGAAGCGCCGGCCCCGTGATGCTGTCCGGAGTTCGTGCGCTGCCTCTTGCCCGGTCGCGGGGCGGGTAGAGCTGCGGGACAGGCCCCGGGCATCGGGCTTGTTCGGCTGGCACGCTGGTGGGCGTAGAGGAGAACTCCAATGTCCGCGTGGCCGGCTTCCAAGGCGATCTTGAGGGCCGAGCTGCCGTCGACGTCGAGGATCGCCGAGTCGCAGTCCGGCTGGCCGAGCAGCAGCCGCACGATGTCCGCGTGGCCGTGCTCGGCGGCGCACATTAGAGCCGTGCTTCCGTCCTCGTCCTGGAGGTTAACAGCCGCGCCGGCCTCGAGCAGGAGCCGTGACATGTCCTTGCGACCATGGGACACGGCGAGCATTAGAGCCGTCTGGCCGTGCTAGAATAACGGAATGATTTCGTAAAAGTTGTTTTATATGGCAGTAAGTCGGGAGCATTGGGATTCCTGGTGACGTTCGATTGTACGGGATCGTTCCGGCACTCTGCAGTTGTCATTCATTCATTTCGTGTCGTAAGTGCTGTCATTTAAATATTTATTGCCAAGGCATTTGTTTTCGTTAGTATCTAAGAGAAGTGTGGGGTGCGTTTAAAAAAAATTGGCACAAGCTTTACTTTAATAACGATAGGTTGTTTGTCTTCTTTTCATTTTTTGCAACGGTCGGTAACATATTATTACGGTAGAATTTTAATTTCGTGTTATATGTACTCCAGATAATGCTCCGTGCACTTGGCGGTCCGAGTTTGGAATTGTTTAGAGTGTAATTTCAGTCGTCAACCAAGGTAGAATTTCAGATATATTAAGCATCTAAAGTTTATATCATTCTCAATGATTAGATTACAATGATTTTGTAAGGCAGCCTCCACTGGTATATTGAAATTAGCAGCGTCATTTTGTGAGAAACGCGATACATTGTAAATAATCTCCTTAAAAATTACGAGATTTTAGGATTGAATTTTATGGATGATGGTGAGAGACGAGAAAGGCAAACTTCGTGTCGCCTCGAGATAGTACAAATTAATTTTTACATCACGACGATGAGAAAGGATTTAACGATGATGAATCTGAAAAACTCGTGAGTTTTTTTGTTCTTTTATTTATTTATGTTTTTTTTTTTTTTTTTTTTTGGCCTCTTGATTATCTCGATTAATAAAAAATAAATATTTTTTGAAAAATCGTTTCATCTCAATAAAATTCCAATAGATTCGAATAAATTCCAATTCCTATTGCTCGAAACTTTTCCATACTCAAACAACTCCATTATTTACTTATAATTTTGGATAGCAACGAGGCTAAATCCCTTGTCGTAGGATGCGCGTGGCTTTTAAGGATGGAACGAAGGATGAAATCGGCCATCCGCACCGGCAAACGGCAAACACACACTTACCAGCCTCGCGCGCACGTTAACGTCGGCCATTTGGAAGAGACGTTTGACAACGGAGGCGTGGGTCGAGTTGCGCACCTGCGCCAGGGCAGCGAGCATCACCGGCGTGTAACCGGCGTTGTTGGACCGATTCACGTCACAGACCTTCGAGTCGATGAGGATGGAGACAACATCGAAATTGCCATGGGAGACAGCGTAGTGCATGGCGGTGTTGCCGCTCGAGTCCGTCAGGTTGACCACGTGCCCGAGGAGCGAGCCCGAGTGGTGCTCGAATTGGTCCAGGTAGAACTCCACGCTGTGGGGATCCGCCTGAGCGGTACTCGAAACCTTGAACCACTCGTGCTGGACGATGTTGCTCGCGTTCTTCACTCGGCTCGGCAAAATTCCGCCCGCGCTCACTTTCCTGTAACAGACGAGGAGTGGACACTTGACCTCGGGGTGGTGAGAGGTTGCTTATGGCTTCGCATTTAAGGCGCCAAATGCCAATGTTTTTTCATCGAGCAAGCCTTGATGAAGAAAGCGTCAATTTTCAATATTATCGAGGACTCGCGTCGTTAGCCGTTATCGATTTGATGTTTATTTCGACGTTGTCGTTAAATTTAAGTCAACTTTTTCAAGGCTGTGCATGTTTCTTACAGCATAAATGGTATAATTTAGCAATTTGCAAACAAGCATTTTTTTCTTTTTTTTTGTTTTTTCATTTGAACGCCTGAGTCTTCTCGTGAGCGCGCACATCATCGTTTCAAATGTGAATTTTAAATACCTTATTATGAAGGATTTTCTTTACGTTCCGTGCAACATATTACAATTTAAAATTTTTTTATTTTTTTATTTTTTCATTCCTTGAAAACCGTACGTCCATTCGATATCTTAATTTGTAGGAAGATCGAGAGAAAATGACTGCATGTCCTTGAAACCTAAGCAATTTCAATGCAATACCAGTTCATTTAATAACAAGTACAACTTACTTTGTTATATTACGCCTTTGTGCATATTAAATATTACGACGACAATTTCTTTTTCAATTGCTGGATTACGTAATACCCAGTCGGTAAAAAGTTTTATGGTAAAATATATTTATTTTGAAAGCTTTTCGTATACATATGTCTCATTAAATTTATGATCTATGCTCTTCAAATGACCTTGGAAAACATAAATAATTCATGCTCATATATATAAATCAAAATTTAAGTATTAAATGACCATATTTAACGCGAAGAGTTGAGTTGTAGTACGCGAAAGATTTTTTTTCTTTCAGAGTAAGATTCATCTTAGAATTCCTTATGAATCCTTGAAAATGCATTAATCCAATTACACGAACTTAAATCCTACCGACGTATTCTAATTATAAATTAGTCGACAATACTAATTATTACGCGCAAGCTATTTGTACGAATGATCGACGTATTTCAAGTCGATTTCCAAGTCATCACCTCTAAAAGGAGACGTTCCTTCTTTTTTTTTTTATCTTCGACATTAACGCTCGAGATAATGAAATACATACAAAATGATGAGCTATACGCGTTTCCCAACTAATTCTTTTCGCACATCCGTAGAAGCGTTCATTTCCCATTAAACAGCGTCACTCTTTCATCGAGCGCACTCGACTATATTACCTGAGATTGTCGTCGAGAACTTTGAGGGCGGCTCGCATCTCCCGCGAGAGTTCCATAGGCGGGCGCTGTGCGGGTATTTTCGGCGTCTCGAGGACCATGCTGGTGACGAGGGCATCGTCGAGCTCCTTCGTTTTGTCCGCTTCCGACGCGGGACTAATGTCATCGTCGACCGCAGGCTTTGCATCGTGGCGGCCGTCCCTCTCTGCCTCCTCGACGTCGTTTTCGTTCCGTTGCTTATCGGACGATTGCACTAGCAGGCATTCGGCATACTTGTTTATATTCTGCGACCTGGAGATTATGGGACGGATAATTTTATTACTTATCCGACAATCCGAGTTTGTTGTGCGCCTACGCGGATATTTATTTATTTACAATATATACGACAATTTATTCATGCGCCTTTGACATTTCAAAAATATGCTTGCATTTTATTATTATTATTATTATTATTATTATTATTATTATTATTATTATTGTTATTATATATATAATATTCAGTTAAACATATTTTCAGTATCATCAATAATACAGTATATAATAAAATTACTAAATCTTTGTGTAAGTTGAAATTTCATTTCAAGGAAAGCGGAGGTACACTTTAAATAGAAATTCTACTCCTTTTATTCTCGAAATTAAATCACTTTCCAGAGTACAATTTCACTCGACAAAATTCAAGATGAAAGTGCTCAGCTGCGTCTTAATTTGGTTCATTAGCAATAAATTATATTTTAAAGTCTAGTAAAAAAAAAAAAAAAATAGATATAGATATATATTTATAGTGATGTGTTTTCCCTACGTACACAAATATAAATATATATATATATATATATATATATATATAGAAAAAATACGTAATATAATTATAAATACATGTATACAATAAAACTATCATTTATTCCAAAATTAACAAGTTTTCAATTGTGTGATAAAAATAAGAAAGTTCAAAAACTTGGGCACGTTTTGTAAGTACAGGTTAAAACTTATATTTAGATCCTACAACTTTAAACTGTGTAGTTGTAAACACGTTGTAAACTTGTTTCAAAGCGTATATATAGATTGAGTTGGCTTAAAATAAATATTCCGTCTAAGGAGAATTAACGTTTAATTAAATTGTTAGGCATAATTTCCATTATTATTAAGAAACTTATTTTTAACCTATTAGAAATATCTATAATCGAATATTAATTCATTATCATTCATATCCATTGTAAAATATAACTTTATTTAAGTTGTTTTTATTGTCGCTGTTCGCTCGTTTGATATAATATAAGTCGTGTGTCAATGAAAAAAAGTATCTCTGTTGCTCTTTTGGTTTGCTCAAACTTTAATAACATTTATATCCAACGATTTCACAACGATGCTTCCATTGAAATAAAGAATATTGGAAATTTGTTTCTATTACAGTTTCAAATGTTGTATTGCAATAGTATAAGTCAAAGCATTTATTCAACAAGTAAATGACAAAGTATTCGTACAACCATTCAAATTGCTAATGTTAATAACATACGCTATTTATAATACAAATTTTACATCCGTATGAGAGCTATTAAGCGTTTAATTTACATTCTTATTCAAACAAGACTCTTGATTAAAATCTCAATAAATAAACGATAATATTTGATAAACATTTTATTAATATATATCTTCTTAACAATGTGAAAGTTGACATGAGCCGGGCAAATGTTTTATTCAACGTTAAACTTCCAGGCCTCTCATTGGTATAAAAATCCATAAAAGTATATCGCATTATGAAATCCGATAATCCATCATAACTCCAATTTATTATTAAACAATAGTTTTACGTACATAAAACACCGTGAGCATAAACAGCGTTCCTACATTCTCTTCCGCCCTTTTACCTCCCGGCCGCCCATTCCATCTTACACACGCACACCTACCTACACGCATATTGAGAAAGGAGAACGTATTTAATTATGAGCTCGGAAACGGGAGTCTTCCGGAAATACATAAATATGATGTGGAAGCGCAGTCAGCGACGGGAAATCGCGTACAAACATGAGATTAAATTAGCGCACGGAGCCATAACACCTTTCTCCAAACATGTGTGCGCTCAGCTAAGTAAAAGGCGGGAGCTCGGCTAAGGAACGCGGCAACGCGATTCCCACAGCTCAAGTCTCTCCCTTGACACTCCCCTCCCCCCATCCCGTAAACCGTCCCCATCCCATGTCCAGCCCTGCCATCCCCACGCCAATTCCAATAATATGCAAGCAGCAACGACGAGTCGAGAGCGCTCGAATTGGCGGATCTAAGCGAGAGTCCTTGCAATGCAAAGCTACTTCCCGACTAAATGCCAACGACTCGATTCGTTATCAACATTCTTGCTGATCCTCTACCTCAGCGTCAGGACGAAGACTGGCGGCGGCCCAGCGGCATCCTTCGAAGCCAGCTTCCTTCCCTCTCCCGTCCACCCGCGGCCCTTCTTTCAATTATCAATAACCACGAGCACTGGACACCGTTGAACTAATCGACCCCCGGTGTATTAACGACTTGACGAGCAGCTCCTGGGCCAACTGCCGCCGAGATTCGCTGCGCTGCGCGCGCACTTATCGACATGTCCTAACTACCGCGGCGTGCGTCGCTTACGATGGTTACTGGGCTCGACGAACCATCGGGTGGCGATCCCCCTTCTCCCCTGTCCATTTTTTAACCGAAAAAGGGATGGTGTTCTGTCGAGTGCGCGTGCGTATATTATTCGCGTGGGTTTACTTCTGGAGCTTATCGTTTGGACGAATCTTTTATTTCAACGTTCTGCCGACACTCTATCCCCAGACGGATTTTCAGCATACTACGAGAAATTTAACAGCACGTTTTTACCATTTACAACAAATTCTTCGCGTGCTTTTTAATATTTCGGCGTGATAAATATTAGAAAAACCAAGCCTACCTACCAAATTACGTGGCTTTTATATCGGAAACTTTCATGCAAACGATGAAGATTTATCTTCCTCATACAAACGAATGAATATCCATCCATAGGGGCCAATTAGGTATGCACGGTAACAGAATTATGGGGCAACCAGCATATTCAATGTTTAACGACAATTCACTTGTAAGAAGTACTATTAGCTTTATATGGTACGATAGAAATGGTTGTATATAGTAGGTAATTTCGTCTAATGAATCCATTGATTCTCGAACTGATTGACGGGCAAAGATGGTCGATTATCTCCAAATCCACCTAATCTGTTGTATCATATAAGCTTTCCAATAATGACAGTCCCATGATTTTAATTCACGTAATAATTACGAAAAATAATGTTTTACGATTCGTAGTAAGATAGAAAATTTTGTCGATCTTCGCCAAACTCGCCTGTATGATATAAATAATAAATCTTGAGTGAGTAGCTACTTCGTGGCATCGCCTTTACGATTCCATTAACGGATGATATTGCGGTTATTAAAACGCTCAAGGCGTCTGGACTTTTTATTTCAGATAAAATTTTGGGAGACTCTTCTATATGTATTATATTTATGTTCTTTTGAAATACACAATTTTTTTAATTCCTTTTATTATTAATTTAATTATATATAGCGTATTATATTTATAAGAGATCGTGGTAATTATACCATAATTATGCATAAAGTCATTATGAAAAATTATTGTCTTTTCGATGTTCTACTACTTATAACTACAGAGTAAATTATAAGTAAATGAAAAAAAAAAAATTAATAAGTAACATACCTAATAAATAATTAATCGGTATTTCCTATTTTATAATAAATAATTGCTCCTTTAATTTGTTCTGTAAAACTGAGTCAAAGTATTGACACATAGTGAATGGATAATATAAATTCTTAAGTAAGCATAATCTACTATAATTATAAGTTAATTTTTTTCTTTTCTTACATAAAACTATTAGATATAACAAAATGTATGACATTGTCGAAAGAGAAAACTTTTGCCGCAAGACTCATTTAAGGTAATATCTATAAATTATATGTTAATTATATCGTGTCAACATAGTGTTTAATAATATGTATATAAAATAATTAACGTAAGATGGCATGATTATAAATTAAATATGTAATGATAAAAACCACTAATAAATCTACGCATTACTTGCTACAATACGTACAAATATGTTCACGTAGGTTATATATTTTTAAACGTCGAAGATATTATTAATTATATGTGCAATTACTATTAATATTGCCAATACTCTTAGTATTCATAATTAATTTATACTACACAAATCTAATAAATCAAATTAAATTTTTTTACAGTGAAAGCAATTTTTGTAGATGATCAATGATAACGATTCATTTTATAATGCATTTCAAATATTTTTACGATAATTTTTAATAATAAGTTTTTTTTTTAAACAAAAAAAGGTCTTTTTAATCGTTACGTTTAATAGAACATTTTAATAATAGTTTCGCTCAAATAAATTATTTCTAATATTGTTATACATAATCGATATATGCTCGGAGAGTTTGGTGTTAATATATAGTATACACCAAAGCTCCAACTGGAATAACAAATAAATTGGATATATCGTGTATAATTTACTTAAAATAAAACAAAAACAAAAACAAAAAAAATATCGCGCGAAAGGTCGTATAAAGTTTTTTTTTTTAAATCAACACTGTTATTGTTTTAGCGATCGATAATTGAAGAAATGTTAATAGTAAGCCAAATTGAATGACGCGCAGGAACGTAATAAATAAACAGAGAAAATAAAATACAAATGGCGAACTCACTCATCGCCTAGTTGATCGAGACTCCCCGTCCAAGTATCGTGTCTGATAAGCATCGTCCGCCTCTCGCCCTTGGGGTCGCTCATCATCGGTATCCGTGTCCTCGCGATCTCCGGCCTCTTCTTCAAGCCGGGCTCCGCTGGGCTCTCGGACTTTCGACGCTGTCCCGACTCCGGGACGATCTTGGTCGCGTCCCTCTCGATCAGGCTCTTGCTGATCTGCTTGCACTCGTCGCAGTAGTTGGTGCTCGATCTAACGGTGGCGGTGCTCGGCAGCGACGTGCCCACCGACACGTCGATCAGGAGTTTGCGCTGTGGCGAGGTCCCGAAGTCCCGCCTCCGCGGGCCCGTCGTCTCCGTGCCGCGACTCGTGCAGGCCACCAGGTCTCGGCCGACGCCCACTCCGACGGACTTGGGCCCGCCGAGCTGCTGCTGACGGCGAAGGGCCATAAGGCCGATCGACGCGTCCGTTGTTTCGGTGCTCACATCGGCGACGCTCGGTTTCGCCGTTACACCCGTGCTGAGCTTCAGCTTTACCCTATCGAGCGAAATACGTTAGATACTTATGTTGAAAAGCTGGATATTATGGTATTGGGATCAACGGTGTGGATAATGATAATGATGGATCGTGACGACAGCTCTCGCCAAGCACTCCTGGCCCGCGATTGACGTAAGCTCGCTCGGCCATTAAAGAAAGAGTTTATCTTTTTTGCAAAATATTTTAGTACTTGTTAACTAAATATTAATATAATAAATCGCGTGTAGAAGTGAATATTCGAATTTTATAGTTGCTAAAGTCAGTATGAATAAGCTATTTTCAATTGTGCGTTTTAACTTCCTATGACAAGTATTAGTTCAGCTCTAATTTCATTCGTTTCTCCGATGTACCATGCGTTTCGGCTTACTTCGAAGAATTTCAGATCGATACTTTTCGAAATTATATTGTAATGTATAAATTTTTAATTTCCTTACAATAAATATTCTTTCCTGTTGAAATTGAGTACAAATGTTAATTATAATACGTATCAAATAAAACAAAGAAAGGCAACAATAAAAAAAAAATAAAAAAAAAAATTATATTCATATGGAAAAGTAAAAAAATAATGTGTATTGATAATTTCAAACTTTAGGCAAAAAGAGAAATGTAATTGTATAAATTTGCATTGGATGAATGAATGGAAATATTTAAAAAATTAACGTTTCTTTCTTTTTAAAATTGAAACAAGTTTTACCGGGCAGTTTTGGAAATATTTTGGAACAAGTATAGGCTAATATAATTAATGTAGACAAAAAAAAAAAAAAACATCCGACATGGCTAAATCGAAACTAAAAGAAATTTGTGCAAATTTTAGCAAATAATAACGCGGTAAAAAACGATTTAAATAAATATTTCTCTTAACGGCTAATAATTGGCCAATAATATCTTTGGATTGTAAGATAAACGTCGTAATTGCAAATTGGAATATTTCATAGAATGTTTGCTTGGCCATTTAAATGAAATAAGTTATTGAATTTAAAGCGGCACCTCGTGTCATTTATATATGTCGTATACATAAAAATTTTATTTATAATTTGATTTATGATAATTTACATTCTTTTAACTGAAAAATTTTTTTTCCAGTTTTTTCTTCTAGTACGACAAAATTAACAACCGAGCTTCAAAAATTTCCGCTTACGTACATAAATGATTACAAGTTTATCCATTAAACGACGAATTTCTTTAATTTCGAATTTTATATTCAATTTGATTAAACACGCTTATTTGCCTTTAAAATGTAATTCATAATAATAATCTTTACTACAAATGTTTTAGACAATGTACCTGGGAAATTGCACGTCAGCATGAAAATCATGAAAATAAGACACTTTTAATACTTTTAATAAGTCTTGTAGTTACATTGGAAAGCAATGCTTCACCGTCATTACATGCAAAGCGGCATCCGCCAATTTATTTTCATAAAAATAAAAATGAAATAAAACCGTGCTCCCTCGCGTAAATGTGTACTATTAATGAATAAGTGTTTACAGGACGGACTGGATTGATTGGGGTGGGGTATCGGTATTTATTTAAAAGATCGGTTGAGCGAAGGAAGCGACGGAAGCGACGGAAGAGAAACGAAGGAGACGATCCTCACCAAGGCTGACTTTCCGTAGCCTGCACCTCTTTGTTCTTCCTGATGATAGGATCGCGTCTCTCGGGGCTTGGTTTCCTCTGCACCGGGAATCCAGAGTTGCCCGTGTCCTTGTTCTCGCTTCTGGGTTTGCACTGGGTTGTTTTGCTCGCGAGTGCCGGCCCCACTGGCTTTGAGCACTGGACTGATTTGTCGGAAGAGGGCGGGACGTAACTCCTACCGAAGCACTGCGTGGCCTTGGACATACACATCCTGGCATCGGCTGGCGCGCTCCCTTTTGTCGTTGTCGTTGTCGTCGTCGTCGTCGTCGTCGTCGTCCCCGCCGGCGTCTCGGTGGACCGGTTGCTGAGAGAAACTGGTCGCGTGTTCGTCGATGTGTCTCGGGTTATCGTCTGCATGGGAGGCGAACGAGCGATTTCGCTCTTTAATATTCTTCCTCTTTCTTGTTGTTATTATTATTATTTTTTCTTTTTTTTGGTTTGTTTGTTTGTTGTTTTCGTTACGGTGACATACGTCGGGAGAATGGGTGGAGACAGTTGTGCGACCGAGTGCGTTCGCCTTCGTTAACGCTCTGTCAAAGAAGAGCATGACCGGTAGCGCTTGCCGGGGCGGCTCTTTGAGGCGGTGGCTCGACAAAGCGCGTTGGTTCCCCATAAAATATTACCGTGGTGCCGGTCGCTAACAATGGGCCCTTTTTTGGGACGCGTCGGGGATGAGTACTTTTATGTCAGGCTAAGCGAGAAATGTAAACACTTTGTAAACAGCTCACCCCACCTCTTACACGCAGTTGATAGCACATTGGTATCGTTAAATACTTTTTTAATGAGTTTTAGATTTATAATATTGTGAATCGCAGTGATGGTAATAATATTATTCTTTCTGCTTTACGATCTTGTCGCGATCGAGTGTTTTCATCGATAGTATGCCCGGCTTTGATAATTGGATACGATTATCCAATCGAATATGTTGAGGCTTTATTTTCAATTATTTGCTAATTGGTGTGATTTACTAAAACCATCATTACGTTACCATGATTCAGCGATTTATTTTAATATAATTGTAACTAACGAGGAAGAAATGGTACCGTGTGTGAGATTATTAAAAAAAAAAAAAAAAAAAAAAAAAAAAAAAAAAAAAAAAAAAAAAAATCTTCATAACTAATGAGTAATTAAGAGATATTACCTTTTTATGTAGTTGAATAACGTTAAAAAATTTAATAAACATTTCTACATATCATGTTTATATAAAACTTTGATCGGTCACATTTTTTATTATAAATATTGTAAATAATCGTTCATCGTTGCGTATTTGATGTTAAAATAGAAATAAAATTTAAACAACTCAATAGACGAATCATAATATAATTTTATATAAACGATATAGCAGCTCTTAATTCGGTATTGTTATTAAGTATTATCATTATGATAAAAAACTTTTTTAATATTACACTGTGTACGATGATTTTGCAGATGCAGCAAGAATAAAATATTTCCTTAAGAAATTTTTTAATATGTATTCTATTACAAATCTTAAACGATCTGAGCTAAATCATTAACGAACGAGCGAATTTCATTGCAAAATTTACATCTCTTTAAATAAATAATTCTTTCTCTTATTATTAATAAATAACACGACGATGCCATTTATTTAAAAGAAAAAAAAAACAAAAAAATAAATCTGAATATTAATTATTTAATTTTAAATGATAATAAGCAACGTTAGCTCTGATCATTGATCGAATAAGAAATCCCTTATAAGAAAATATTTTAATAAATAATAAATACCAAGATCATAGTATTTAGCTGTTACGTGGGAAAAAATAAATACTATAAATAACAATATATTTAACCGTAATCTTCAGCCTAATTAAATACTTATGTAAGATGCATTAAGAATCAAGGTCACACTAAAATTGTCAGACTTTGCGTCGAAAAGGAGTTCGAATGTGAATTCGATTGTAATAAAGTGAAAAGATGCCTCGGTCGACCGATTAGCTTTGCTTTTGCACTTGCATAATAGATTCCAATGTCGAGTGAATTCCTTTAAAGAAATAATTACTTGAAGCTAAACATTGTCAAATGAGAAGATTTGTGAGTCGAAAACTCGAACAATAGTATTTTAAGTCACGCCCAAAACTATGAAATTTCGTTTGTAATTTATCAAAAGAAGGGAAAAAAAGAAAAAGAATAGATCCCGTAATTTAACGTAATTGTAATTTTGCCCCCTTCTAGCGCACACCATAACGACGATCAACGTCCGACGCTCAAAAGTCAGTAATAGAATATTTCATCGATCGCCGTGCGCTATTTAAAAGCGCGCACTTAATTACCCGTCGACGTTTATCGATGCAATATCGGAACTCTTTGCTCGTCGGCTAAAGCAAGGGAATAGCAACGGCGCGCGAAGGAAAAATGCGTAGTCTCGGGAAGAAGGAAATTACGGCGCCACGCAGGCAATAGTACAATCGACGTAAGTTCCTGAAAGTCCGGGCAGCCGTCAGGTTAAAGCCACTTTCGGACGTAATGTCGGAGATTGGAGCGCGGCACGACAAGGGAAAGCCCACTTGTAATCCTCACACATCGGAGCACATCGTCCTCGCGCGCGTGAAAAGTACGGCTGAGTCGTAGTCTCCCCCTCGCGGCGCCGCTCCCCCGTACGAGCTAATCTCCTCTCGATTGCCACGGGCGAACGAGCGGGCCCCTTCCAGCCAATGGACGTGGACTCAACTCAACTCGACTCAACTCACCTGCCGATGGGAGACGCCAACGTCCCTGGTGACGATCTTGCACGAGGTGCCGACCTCCCGCCTCCCCGCCGTCTGCTGGCCGGTATTGAGCCTCCTCTGGCTCGCGAGCTGCCTCAGTAGTATGCGCCTCTCCTCCCTCAGGACGGACATCTGCACGTGGAGGAGGGGTATTTCCTTGACCTGCTCCTCGAGCTGCTTCATGCGCTCAAGGGCCGCGGCCATCTGCTCGCGAATGTTCTGCAGGCATGGGCGGTTCTCGACGCGGCTCGCTGACTCCTCGCTCGGCTGCTGCCGGTGCTTATGCCGGAGCACGAGCTTGCTCGAGGATAACGTCGGGGGCTCTGCCAATGCCGGCTCGGCCTCGTCCTCTGGCTCGCGCTGGCATGACCGCGAGCGCCGCTGCTGCTCCTGCCGCTTGCCGTTACTGCCTTTCGTGTTTGGCCTCGTGTCGGACGCGCTGTGTCGACGAGCAGGCGAATATTATCAGTTTATTATATGGCGCTCGGGGGATCGGCAGCTCCTCGCCCGGTTTTACCTCCACGGGAGCCGAGGGGCTTTATGCCCGGGCGTCGGCTAATTCGAGCCGGGCAGCGGCCGTGTGACGATTGTGACTTTGTGTAGTTATGGTTACTTATGAGTGGAGCGGCCGCTAAAAACTTTATTGCCAATGCCAGGGTGTATGCTTTTACCGTGCCACTGTGTTTGGCGCGGAGGGATTTGTCGGTGTCCTACCTGGATTGGACTTGTAAAGGGCGGGAGATTTTTTTTTTTTTTTTTTTTTTTTTTTTTTTAAAGAGACGGAGGGAGGCCCTCCTGAACGTGCACGCGGAAGTTATTTAAACGTGGAAGATCATTGGCTAGTGTAAGTGCCATTGGTTGCTTATTTGTTCGTATCATTTTTTTAGGATGAGAGGGGGGGGGGAGGATGGAGACACGAGAAGGAAGAGAAGGAAGACCTCGTTTATAATGAATTATTGTGTTTATGATGTGCCGACGGCGCATTATATGTTAAACGTTCTTTATTAAGAAATTTTTCATTGTCGTGGCAGTTTCACTAATGGATAAGGCCTGCCAATTAATTCTATAGCTAAAACTAATTTACCGTTATGCCGCGATTGCTTATGCTTATTATAAAATAAAAACATAATCAATGAAGTATTACGAGCGCGCTGACACGATTTATTCGTCGTAATGTTTTATCAAGTAGTGTAATGTCTTGTGAATATAATAAATATTATTGTCGTAAGGAGATGAAAGAGCTGTGAGTAATTGGGCCGATTGATTTGTACGATTAATTTTGAGTATGCATCGGATTAAATACTTTAACAGTTTAACAAACTTGATAATAAATCACAAATCGAGTAAACAAAAGTTAGGAAATTTATATTCAAGGCGTATTTTATATTTATTTTATCTGTATTTTGAAAACGTTTAAGCAGCTATTAGTTAGAAGTGGATGAGAATGAATCGTTATTGCTTTAATAGAGTGGCAGTGTTTTCTTTTTCTTTTTTAAATAATTAGTGTATATACAATTTACAATGCCTATAAATAATTATGTAAATATATTTATACGTGGAATATCGTTTTCTGCAAATTTAATTAAAAATAATAATAGAATAGCTCTTACTATTATATATTACCTTAGAATAATTTATGAATATTTAAGAACACATGGGTGGTTTGACTTTTGATTAATTAAGAAAAAAATGTTGTTCAAGATACACGAGGTAATTAAAAGAGACTGTACTAACTAAAAGTTAAAGAGTTCAAGCTTTTACAATTTAAATGTAATAAACTATTTGCGTTAAATTCGACGAAAAGGTTTTACTGAAATAATAACCGCGTTTAAATTCAACTTTAACGATGGGAAAAACAAAAAGTTCTCTTTCTTACGTACGGACATCGTATCGATAAAAGCGAACACGTTCGTGTACCTTAAATAGAATTGGCTGATGGGAGTGGAGCTGACGCTGTTGTTGTTGTTGTTGTTGTTGTTGTTGTTGTTGTTGTTGTTGTTGTTGCTGCTGTTGGCGATGTTGTTGTTGTTGTTGTTGTTGTTGCTGTTGTTGTCGTCATCGTCGTTGTTGTTACTGCTGCTGCTGCTGCTACTACTACTGCTGCTGCTGCTGCTGCTGCTGCTGCTGTGTGTGGTTGTGATGCTGCTGAGACTTGGGCCCGTGTACGATTGTGATAGGGTTTGCTCGAAATTGCTCAGAGTGTCTTGCCAATCCTGATTGAGCTTCAGACTATCGAGATTCGGCTTCGGTGGAGGCTTCGGAGGTGCCGGCTTCGATGATGGTGCCAGTGACTCTTTATTCTTTGAAATTGTTCGTTTATTTATGTGAATTTACTGTCGTCTGTCACTGATTGATTATATTTTTATAGGATAGAGATCAATTTGTTTATACGAGTTGAAGTGTTTGGTTTGGCTATACGAGTTGTAGCGCGGCGAGCTATAGCCAACCGACTTTTACTTACTATCTTAACTTAAACTTGTGAATGGATTTTCTATTGTATGAATTTTCTGCTATCGCAAATTAATTAATTAGAATATATCACAACTTATTCCATTGTTTTTCATTCAAAATTATATAGTATTCAAAGAAAGTGAATATTTTGTAATGATTAATGCGTTTCATTTTACGTAGAAGGCTTTAATTTATAAAGCGCATTTAATTTTTTAAAATAATTGTTATACATTTAACAGAAACATATAATAGAAATTCATTATGATGCTTATATAATTATTGTTATTACTATTAAGTAATTTTTCAAGAGAAAAAAATTATTCTTTTAATAGTATTTACATATATAGCTGACGTAAATATAAATTCCAGTTCACTAATTAAACTGATTGGCATAATGAAAAAATTATTTTTTATAATAAATTTTATCGTTGCTTTCTCGAGTCTAATTTAATTAGAATTTTTTAGTTCCTTACTTTGAGAAAGCTAATGATTTTCCTTCAGTAATCGTAAACATTTGCTTATAGCTTAACTTTTATTACCAAAGATTGAATTGTTATATATTTTTACTACGAGTGCCAAATAGTTTTCCTTGATTTTTAACGTCAATTTTTTCTCTCCATTCGATTGGCGATGAAGAGGCTGTCGATACAATTCAGCAGTGTCTTTTTATTTTCCGATTATTCTAACGATCGATTATGCATGGAGTACATCTTTCTTAATACGTCTGATCTCATTGTCGTATTCAAGGTGAATTATAAATTCAAGGTATTGGTAATTTTAGTTTTTTTAAATCTATGACAAAAGCATTTTTCATAATTCATATATTCATCAATTGGAAAAATTCTATTTAATAAATTCAGAAATAGTGTAAGTAGATTTTAAGTAGAGATTTATTTATATATTTATTTATGGTTTTTTTTTTTTTTTTTGTTTCATGCTCAGGAAGGAATTACAATTTTAAATCATTCAATTACAATGTTACAATATTCAAATGTTAGATGCAATGCAAGAAGTTTTATGAAAATATGCTCTTACGTAAATTAAATTACCTTAGAATAACTTCATTCATAAAATAAAAGTTTACGACACCACGCATCCTATAAGAATTGTGTTTAAATTCGTAACCCGTAGTCGTGGTCTAAAGTACGAAAGAAAGAATTAAAAAAATCTTCAGCTATTTATGTATATAAGAAGAAGTTAAATGGTATTAACAGTGTAAACGACAGCTCGTATTACATGAGCGATTATAAATAATATAATTATATTTTTTTCAAGGAAATATTTTTAAAAGAAAGGAGACAAAGGGGAAAAAAAAGATTACACTACAAATTGCTTGCTCGTGTCCTAAACAATTAATGTTATTTATAAAAGTCGTCATACAAATGTTCATTGCCATTAAAGCGAATATATATAAGCATCAACGTGTTTAAATTATGAATTAATACATATAAACAATAACGTGAAAATCATCCGAAGCTGAATGCTCCAGGAAGCGCAAAAAAACAAGTATTATTTACTCGTAAAAATTAATACCTCATCTTTGGCTTTATGAAAAAGCTTTATAGTTCGAGTTTTCCAGGTACTCCTTCCCCAGCACGGCATTTTCCCAATCACTCTTCTCAATACGACGCATACAAGATTCGGAAAATTATAGCTCGTAAACGCGGATCAACTTGTATCGGACTTTGTTTACGAATTCCCGTATTTGTGTATAACTAAATCCGAGTTTTCGACACACTCCAACGACTGGCGCTCAAACGAATAAGCGAACTTACGTTCAATTCAACAAGGCGGGACGGTAAAAAGTTCCGGTAAATTTAGAAGCGAATCAACGAAGCAGCCGGAGTGAGATGTGAATTCGGTGCATCGGAGAAGCGCGCGATACGAAAGTTCGCCGCCTGACGTTTCGTTAGACGACGTCGAAAAACACGTACGACGGCACTCTCCTTTGCCCTCGCGTATCGAGCTCGCGCAATTCGTTATCACCATCCGAGATAACGAGTCTATCTTCTACTCGATACTTGCGCAACCGGCAGTGCTGCAGGTCGCGCGCAGTATTGAAAAAAGGAAAAATAAAAAAAAAAGGTGTAACGAGTAACGGAGGGCGGAGGGGGGGGGGCGGGCGGGACGATCGGCGTATAACCCTTTTTCCTCGGGAAAGCCGAGGAGGAACTCCATCGACTGGCACTGCTTTTGCCGGGCGCGACGACGACGCTTCTCCGCGTTCCCCCGGGCAATCCTGTCGCTCGCTGCTGCCTGCCAGTTCTCACAGTAGCGTACGAAGTCGAGGTCGATGTGATAGCCATATGGACAGCAGAAGCACTTGCTGCCGTGGTCGCCGTTCAAAACGTTCATCCCGTTTTGCTGCTTCGGCCCGTAGGTCTTGCCGCTCTTGCTGAATAATCCTGTTGGCGGACACGTACACGACCAATCGTATTACTTTATTCGCCTTTTAACTTCGCTTTGGTCGAGGGGTTTGTACTGGCACGGCATTTTCAAGTTATTAGATGTCAAAGTGAGGTTTGGATCTTAGCAAGCTTTTCTCTGCGTTTGTGTGTGTGTGTGTGTGTGCGTGCGTGCGTGCGTGCGTGCGTGCGTGCGTGCAGACACGCGGACGTACAAAATGCTGCGTAGATCTTGTATGAAATTGCTTATACATGTGAGTGATTTGATAAGGTGAATGTGAGCCGAGGACTATTGTTAATATCGTTATTACCGGTAATATTATTGCCGGGCGACAAATGTATGGTTTACCTAGAATATAAAGCTAGGAATTCAGTTAAATTATGGTTAGGTTCGTTTGTAGCGTTAAAATATTTATCGAAAAATAATATGCTCGTTTATTGAAGAGGATTGGATTTCGAATGAGATTAAAAGTGTTAAAAAGTACGATATTTTCTGTAAAAATTGTTTTGAATTTGCTGTCGAATTGACATGCTTGTTTAACAGGTCGTTTAATAGTGGTTTAATGAAAGTGAATTCGTTCAAAGTCAAACAGAATTGTGCCGCGATACTTTCCGAATCTTTTCATAACTGAATGCTAATACGAATTTCTGAGAAGTACTTGGAAATTATATGGAATACTTAAAGTTACTTTTGTTTTGCAGATACTATCTCCCCTTTCATAAATAGCTCAAAATCTCAATTAAATCTACTTTTACGATTTAATTTGGTGATTAAAAGTCCTTTCATTTGTAATAAGTAATATTAAGCGCCTACGCTTATTTAAATTATTTGTAGTTACAGTTTTATATTGCGTGATAATAAATTAATGATTAAAAATAATCTTATCAATCACTGTTGATATTATATCGTTGACAATGTATTCAAAGTTTTGAAAATTCGAAATATTAGAGTGGTAAACTAGAAGGATTTGATTTAAATCTCTTTGATAAATATTCTCTACTTAAATGTAATAAGAGAAAAATAGCATCGATTCTTAAGTGACCATTAATAATTGAAAAATGAAGTTAAATTCGTGAAAAATTTTAATTTATTTCAATTTGACGAACGTATCATTTGTATGTTCAATGTATTGTGTATTTAAAATCTATTAAGCTCCGTGCTGAATAAAATGCATGTAAAAAACATTAAATACAAATATTAAATAAGTACGTCGATTAAGTGAATAGTTAAACAAATATTAATTCATTTCAATTATTTCAAAAGGATGGCGAAGTAAATTAAAGTAATGCTCTAGAGCTTCTTATTTTCAATGAATAAAATGTTTGGTGCGTTGTCACTTATACAAACAATACAATAAAATTTTGGCTCACATTTGCGCATGATCCAGATTTAGCGTTAGCTGATAAGAAAATTATTATTATTGAATCGCGATAAAATCAGCGTGTGCAGAGTAAGAAAATAAGTAGAATTGGTGGTAATTGAGAAAAAAAGTATAAATGAGATTACTGACAGATTGAGACTCAGGAGCACATCCGTCTAATACTTTGAATAATGGTGAGAGTATTATTAAAATATTTAATAGTGCGCAATAAATGATGGAGAACATTATTAGTGTTAATATTAAATTTTTAGTTGTGATTTAATTTAAAAGTTCAGATTAATTGGCGACCGCTTATAGTTTTGTCAATTGTACAAATTTTATTGTTGTATTTTATTGTATCGAAAGGAAATAATCATGATAGTACAAGAAGACTAACCTAACCAAATGAAATAGAACCAAAACAAAAAAAATGTTATTTTAGTAGCATAGTATTACAGTGTAATTGAATTAAGCGCATTAAGATCAGTTGATTAAATAACTAAATTCGGAAATAAAAGGTCTTGGGACTTAAAAAATACAATGATTATAGCAAAAATGCATTATCAACTTGCATACTAATATAATTCAAGAATGATATTTTTGTATTGATGAGATAATTAATCTTCCGAGTTTTCGCTGTCACTTAAATAGAGCAGATAAATAAACTAATTGTTATTAATTTCGTTTTAAGATATTTTACTTCATTATTGTAATAATTGCATTAGAATGGTAATACATTTTATTATATTAGTACCTTATATTAGTAAAATGCTATAAAAAGCATATTATTTAAGAATGATTTTCATAAAAAACTTATTTGAATAGTTTATCAACACTTTCTTTAATATTCTTTATAATTGATTATTATATTGGTAAAATTAAAGTTTATAATTTTAACTTATAATTTTATGTAACTTAACGAATACGCGATGCAATTTATAATTTTATTTTATTTTATTTTATAAACATGTAAATGAATCTTCAAACACTATCCATATAGAAGCTGCTATTTATATGTAAAGATAAAAAAAAAAACAAAAAAAAAAACAAAAAAAAAACAAAAAAAAAAAAAAAATTAAAAAATAAAAAATCTTTTTCATCGATTGTATATAATTTTTATTTTTCATGAAAATTAGGTAAAACGTAATGATTATAATTTCATTTCCATTTAACTATATGGAACATAATTTCGTAAACTCCATAAGTTGGCAAACTCCATTATTATTTTCGATTATAGCGCAATTTACTTGTTCATTCGCGAAGGTCGATACTCTTCGATTTCCGATAAATTAAAGATATCATATTGATAATAAACTATTTTTAAATGAGCATTGTTGATTTTCCGTTGCATATTTTAATGATAAAATGATTTTATTTGGATAGAAATTTTCAAATAAAATAATTAAACGAATTCAAGCAGTAAAGAATATGTTATGCAGTTAAATTATAAACTTTCGATGGTAAAAAATTCAATTACATAAAAATCACGATATACTTAGTATTGTCAAATAATCGTGGCTTCATCGATTGAAAAGTGTTAATTACTATTTCTAAACGAATGATGTATACAATGCGCGGATTTTGGTAGATCGATCATCATAAGACGATACCGACACGCTAAACAAACAAAAAAAGAAGAACCGGCCTTGAGGGAGAGAGTGTACGCGCGCGTGCGTGAATGTATGGGTAAGGAACGTCATACGGACAGTAGAGAGTGCGTGTGTATTTGATATGGAAACAGTGAGACAGAAAGGGAGACAATCTCGCGAAAAACCTCACCGAGACCCACTTGTATTACCGGGTCACTCCTGAATAGTTACGTATCATGTGTTCAGTATTGCGAAAACGCCATTAAGATCAAGGAATACGAGCATAACAATATAACTGCAAACCTAACACTTTCGTTTATCGAATATTAATCGTCACGTGTTATCCACAAGCTTCTAATCTAATAAATATCGAACCCATTCGGCACATATAAAGTGAAAAAGGTAAGCTAATTAATGATTTATTACATTCCAATGTTTTATTATTCCCAGTTGTGCTAGTTGTTTTTTTTTCTCTTTTTCCTAGATCGCGCGCACCCAAACACAACAGCCACACCAAAGTTTGTCTACATTAATTTGCAATTCATCACCGGAACACTCGACAGCTGCCTTTGAATGTAAAGCTGCGTTGAACAACGAAACGTGCAAAAACAATGGTAACGCCAAGAAAGCCTAACATTACCTCGCTCGTACCTTTTCCTTTCTTTTTATCAGCATTCTAAATCAAAATAATTGCTCGCAATAATTGATAGGCGAACTAATGGCGCGAGCTTTGCATGGCAAATGATAAAAAGTTAATTGTCCGGATTTAACGCGCCTGGCTTTATTAACAGCCGTGGCAGAGAGACAAGAGAGAGAGAGAGAGAGAGAGAGAGAGAGAGAGAGAGAGAAAGAGAGCGCGCAGCCAGGCCAGAATGAATGCTCGGTAAAAAGAATGGGAAAAGACGTACGAAGTAGCCTCGCATGGAAGCTGCGATGCAACGGCGAGCAATGGAACCAACGACGCTCATCCACTGGGTGGAGGCACCGGTTTTGGCCGCTATTCCCCTTTCGGGCAATGCTTTCGACGTAACACCGGGTTATATATAAAGTGGCCTGAAGCTCCCGATAATCGCGTATATACCAGCCAGCAGAGACTAGCAAAGTCAGGAACTCGTGGCGGAATCGTTAAGGATTCGTGCGAGGCAGCGGGGCGCATGGACCCGTCAACGTTTGAGCGCGCGAAAAATTGACGGGACGAGCGGCACGGCGAGGGTGGCGTACGGAGGAGTGAACCGGACGAGAGGAGGATAGGTCCTGGAGAGCATGGAGATACCTGTCTCGGCGTCACTAAAGAGCCGAGCTGTGCTGGTCGCCATCGTCGTCATCTCGTCGCGCGTGCTGCGCCGGACTCGCGCTCTCGCCTTGTTTGGTCGTGAGTCTCCCTGGTATCCCGCCTCGATCTCTCGTCCCGTTCGAACGGCGTTGGTGGTGGCGGTGGCGGCGGCGGTGGTATCACGCTCGGGCACGCACAGGTGTTAAAAAGAAAAACGGTCCGCGGGCCGGCGGCTACGGCGACGGCCGTATAAGCGGCGACTCTCGCTGCGCGGCTCGGCGCGCGGTTTCTCGCGTGAAATCGGCACCGGTGGTGCCATGCCGATCGGCCCGTTGCTCTCCTGGAGACTGCGGAGGTACGCGCGCGCGCACACACCTCGCGCTCGCTTTTTCTCCCACTACACGGCACCGGTCTTTTCTTCTTCTTCTTCGTTTTCGTTTTGTTGGAAGGCCGTTGCGCTTCCCCACTATCTGCGAGAGTTGATGCTGCTGCTGTTGCTGTTGCTGCTGCGACTCTCCTTCTTACTTTCGGTCGTCGCTGCCGCCACCACTACCGCCACTACCGTGACTACCGCCGCCGCAGCCGCCGCCGCCGCCACCGCCGCCGCCACCACCACACCATCACCACCGCCACTATCGTTGCAGCCGAGAGGCCAAATTGTTGCTTCGGTGAGAGGACCCGAAGAGGAAGCTGCGAGGGAATTTGCGTTTCATGGGAATCGGTTAGGCCCCCGGAGATATTACATATTCGGCCTAACGCAGGCGCGAGATTTATTATGATTGGCGTGCACTATGATGGCGCCGATCGATCGTTATGATCTCTCGACATTACGACAGACGGCTTTCTTGATGACCATAACTATCGTTAGAGATCATTTCTGATGTTCTAATAATTAAATCATTAAAATAATTTGTCTTAATTTTAAGCGAGAAGTTTTGCGTAATGCCGTCTAAAGTTATGCTTGAATATTTTTATTTTTATAAGCGTTACGCCTCTTCTTAATAGGCTACATCGTTATATCCAATGCATAGATGAATTATTATATAATAAATCATTAAATGTTTATTTACTGTTTATTTACTTATTTATTGCTTTTTTTTTCATTTATATTTGGAAAAAAAAACAAAAAAACTCGGTGCTTTAAAGCGGCAAGATTGCCTAGATTAAAGCAAAATTCTAACGTATATTTGTATAATATGTGTTGAGACTTTGTGCAAAACTTCATTATCATATCTTTTGAAACGGTCTACTTTATTTAACATCATATAAACTTATGACTACTTTTATGCAAATATTATACTTTCATAAGTTACGTTTCGACAACACGCGTTATAAGACATATTTTAAGGTTGATTTCGATTATATTTAGAAGTAGTTTTTACGTATATTTGCATTTGAAATTAATTTTTTTTTTTATTAAAAAAATGAGTAAAATAGGCAAATTAATCGATAGAATTAAAAATTATTTTAAATATTTTCAATTTCGGTTCATTACACATCATTATTTTAATCATTTGACCATTTATAATATTCTTTAAATTTATATTTATCATTATATATTAATTTTTTTCGTTTATCTAAAAATACTCGATAACAAGTAAGTGACTCGTTGAATCTACTTTATGCTTGCTTTATGCAAAAATGTTTCCTTTGATTAATTAAAGCTTAGAAGCATTTCATATTTCAACTGCGATAATATAGGAGAGCATAATTATTCCGCTTCTTACTCCTCCCTTCCCCCCTCACTCGCCCCTCTTTATCTCATACATATAAATATTTTTTTTCTTTTTTCCATAGTTAAAGCCAGCAAATATATTTTAGTTTTCTTTCACAGATCTTGTTATGTTAGCCCCTGCGTCTTTCGAAAGAACACAGTGGGGAAGCGGTATACCATAATAGAATAGTAAAGGATTTCTGTCTATCCCCACTCTTAATCTCTATCTCCCTCGCTCGCTCTCACTCTCTCTCTTTTTCTTTCGCGCTCACGCTCATTGACTTGCGCTCAAGTGAAGACAAAATTAGGCCGTACGTTTTATTGTTTTCCGACTTGTGTATATAACTAATGAAAAAAGAGTAGGAAGAAATTGGGATGACACAGCACGGTAGTGTCGGCGTTTGTCCCTTTGATGTCATTTTGTTGTGCACGCACGTGTAGTAAGCTTATATTTCTAAACGTACATCCGGGAGCAAATATGTAGATGAAATTATTTCATTAATATAATGCTCGTTGAATTGAAAATTACTATATCATAGTATTTGATTATAATTAGATGAAAAATTTGTATTCTTATTCGACTGTTTATTATTCTATACTGGGGGATGCAATATTGACGCGAAGAGAAATTTAGTTAAATTTTAATGAAAATTTCAATATTGTAAATGTAATTTTATTCATAATGAGAAAACGAATCATAATAATTATGAAAACACGAGACATCAGTAACAAAAATAAATAAACAAAATAATTTTTTAAGTTAAAAAATTTATATTTGGGCCACTTACATTTATTAAAACAAAAAAGTAGTCGTTTTTACGTTGCATTTCAACTTTCATGAAGTTTAATCATTTTATAATATTTTATTTTATTTTATTTTTTTTTATATAATTACCATTCAATAAATGATTATTACAATTATTTACTTATTTTTAGAACTATTGACAAATTATGTATGAATAAATGGCTGTCCATTTTACAAAATAATGATGTTACTTTTATTTCTCTGGAAATAAAGCACATATCGACTGTTTATGGAAACCACGTTTCACTTCTCTATTACGTGAATTCGTGAGGTAGAAAAACATTATACGAAAATATTTCGAAATGTATTTGTTATCAAATTTTTTCTACTTCAAATATCTACTTTACGTTTATGAACTAAAATCATCGTTGAAAAAACCAAGGTTTACAACACATTTGTAAAACAATTACAAAACAAACATTACGCAGAAAAGATTATGCGAAAGAGGGCTTAATCGGTACTGGCCGCAACTAGCCGTCTAATGCTTCGCTTATAAAGCCAAAAGAATAATCACACGCCTATCTATCATCGACATTTTTTCAATCCATAAGAAAACACAGTGTAAATACGTATCGTTACGACGATCTATTCACACTTTTGTATTCTCTCTTTCTCTCGCTCTCACACGCTCTCACACGCTCTCACACGCACACACACACACACACACACACTCTCTCTTTTCCTTGGGATACGCGCACGCGCACTCACGCACAAAACACTCACGCAGTGTATCCCAACACATGCAGACGATCGACTTGGAGTAGTCGCGTGGGTGTCGCGCGTTCGCTTCTCTCTACGTTCCACTTTTTATTTAGTCGTCCTTCTGGAGGGCGTCAAGTCGTTCGAGCAGAGGCGGATGGCTGTGATGGTAATTGGAGTAGAGCTTGTCATAGAGGGGATAGCCCAAATTATCCTTGTGCAGCTTGATGAGGGCGCGCTTCAGAGCATCCGAGTGTCCAAGACTTCGGGCGTATTTGTCAGCCTGGAACTCGAAGTTCCGCGATTGCACCGTCATCAGCCAGTTCATCAGCTACGAGCGAACAAACGTGGCATTTTTTTTAAAACGCTTTTTATTACGTATCTAGCATTGAGAAATCTGCGTTTTTGTGCTTTGTCGTAATAGAAAAGTAATCCTAGCTTATATATAGTTTGTATGATGGAGGACGCGCGTTTAACATTTAATTGCAATTGTGTGCTTTGAGCTAAATTTTCACCTGTGCAAACATTTCTTATCATTTTAAATTTATCTCCATAAAAGTTCATCCAATTGTTCTTTCCGAATATTATAAAAAAGTAAAAAAAAAAATAAATAAATAAATAAATAAAAAAAATAAATAACATAAATAATAATTTGCAAACGGGTACAATTATTATATAGAATTGTTAAATATTTTGACATCAATACCAAATACTTTAGATTTTCTTATTTAAATTGTAAAGTTATGATTTCATATCAAAATCTAGAAGAATAAACAATGAAATATTTTACATAAATTAAATTATATATGAGTTTCGTGCGATAATAATCTTAGCAATGTAATGAAAAGGCAAAATTCTTAATTTAAAAATGCTAGTACTGCATATGTTACTGCTACCGCTGCTACAGGAAATTGCTTCTGAATAGCAGAGCACGTATTTTTTGTAAACTTTTCGTAATGGCGTAGGCAGTTCATCTAAATTTCTTTTCAACCACTCCCACTCGATTCTTCTTCTTTTTTTCTCTCTCTTTTCTTTCTTTCTTTGTTGTTTTTTTCTTTTCACCTGACTTTGTTAATTTTGAATAATGACCTACATACCAAAAATCAAGTGACTTTGAAAAATTACCGATGTCTTTATTTTGAATTGGAGTTATTAAATTGAAAGTATCGATAAATAAAGTTATTTAAGATTTTCCTTCACTTTTCAATAATGCTTCTGCTAAACATTATCCTGAATATGAAAAATCATCTTATAAACATTAATCTTGCCTCTGAGCACTGACGCAATCTATTTGTATGAGCAGTGATTCGTTATTACCATTTAATTTAATCTAGCATTAAACGGAAAATTATGCTCTTCACATACTATTGACTACGATGTTAAATTACAATTGTTTCTTACCTTATTCAATGGCGCAAGCACGTATGTCAAGATTACAGTGAGTCCTACAATAACGGGCTTTTCGTCAATAAAACCAAAAGTCTCGTAAATCGATGCGTAATGTAGCAATTGGCCGAACAAAACAATGTTGAGCAAGATGATAGCCTGGAATTCGTAATAGCATGCTTTGATTAATTAGACTATTTACTACTGTATGAGCGAACATGATTATTAATATTTTTATAATGTTATATCTATAAAAAGTACTCTGTTTTAGATTATTCTGAAAACATATTGAGCTCATGCAAAGGATCTATTTTCGTGACAACCATCAATATCCACAAACACTTTTGTATTTTAACTACTCTAATGGTATTCATTGACTCAATGATAAATAAACGTCAATTATATAACAATAATAAATAATAATATTTTAATGAAAGCATATGCATTTGTTTGATAATTTTGTAGAAGAATATTTATGGGCAAGTGAATTGTTTTGTAAACTTAATACTGTCAAATCAAATAAATATTACATCATAAAATACTTTTAATTTCTACTTATCATTATGTAAAAATGTGAGCAAAAAATTCAAAATCCATAATAACACCGATATTAAAAGACATTTTAAAAAGTAAGTTAATTAAAAAATATATAGCTTTTAGTTTACTAACTTAACTGTCGTGGATGAAAATAAACAATATGCAAAGTGACTCTGACACGATGACTTTACAAGAAAAACTACTTACTATCTTGACACAGAATTCTAAAATTCTAAAGAAGAAGTTATTGACTTCAAAGATTTGAGTTTGAGATCCCTTAGAGTCCATCGTTCGCAGGTTTGATTAATGTATGTATGTATACGAAAAGTCGATTGCAAACAACATGATTCACGCAAAATAGAAATTTCAAGGCTCCTTGAAGCGATAATAAAAGGCGCACGGCCTAGACGGAAAGATTAAGCTTTACCTGACCGTACAAGAATCCCTGAATCGTGTGACTATGATACCAATGTCCAAGCTCGTGAGCGAGAACAGCAATGATCTCATCGGTCTCGCAGCCTCGGCTGGTCTCCTTGCTGCTTTCCCCGCTGACTTCTTCTTCGTTGGACCTGGAAAATAGACAAACAATTCTTTTGTGATTTCCATAATCGAATGCACAAAGACATATTGTATCGGACATTACTAAACAGTGGTATTTTAAATTAAACTTCGTTAAAAAAAAAAAAAAGATTGTTAATGCTATTCCGAATAATTCCACGAGTTTTTATTCATGAATAACAATTAATAAATATCAATGTGTATTTTGCTTGATTAAATCGTTAAATTTAAGCGTCCGAAGATTTTCGATAAATTTTCTATATTTTAAAACAAATACATTTGATTTTTTTTTTTTTTTTTTTTTTTTTTTTTTTTTTAAGGTGCATAGGATCAGAATCAGAAAATTATGAATAATAGAAACAATAAGATTGCAAATATAATCTATCTTTATCCCATCAAATAATAATTTTAATATAACTCTTTTGACTTTTGAATTGATCTTAGTCAAGTTTTGCTGTTGTTTCTTTATTTAGTTTAAAAAAAAAAAAAAAATTGCTTATATATTACTATGTAACTGCAGAAATTATAAAAACTTTTTGTTAGAATAAAATGTTAGAAACAGTTTGATAGAAAATTTGTTTTCTTTTTGCGTATATGGATTCATTAATTAAACAAATATTTTTAACACGAAAAAGATTAATACAATATCCAATAATTAAATTAAATCAAACTCGTTTAATTTCCGGCAATTTTTATAACAAACTTTTATTCTTCATTTCACCAACAGTGAATTCAAATTTTAAAAGATCTGCACGACTGAGTATAGGGTGTACAGTCGAAAAAGGAGTCGGAAGCGTTTTTACCTTAAATAAAACAACGATACAATGTGTATAATCATATACAAATAAATTATGAATATCATTAAATGTTTATACTGAATTTTCATTTTAAACTTGAAAATAAAAATTACGGGTTTTATTATTAAACATTAACTAATTTTATCTCAACTCTACTTACCGACTGCATATTACCGTCTAATATTCTAATACAAAATTATTTTTTCATATTTTAAAACGTGCGCATTAATTTTATAACTTTATATTTTTATTAGGGAAAAGGAATACTTTACTTATTTACATAACGATATTTATATTTTATTAGTGGACATATAAAGTGGCATCTGCTTAATTGACTACATTTGACACAATATTTTCGATTACTTTATTCCACATTTATATATTGTAAATACGTTATTTAAAAAATTCAATTTAATATAATGTAAACGGTGCATAATGCAATTTAAAAATTGCTTCTTTTTTAACAGGTTTAATTACTCTATATTTATCAAAATGATAAGTTTAAAAATTTAACACTTTGTAGAATAATTTAAAAAATACTAGATTCCTAATATTAGATTCTAGATAAATATTTGTACTGAGAAATTGTAAGTTAACATTAGACTCTTAATTCAATTCATTTAATATTTTATTTTCGTCTCAAATAAATGGGCAAATAATTTTCGTGCATAATTCTTATCTAAATTCAAATAGGCAAAAGTATTTTTGAAATTATACTTTTACATTTAGCATATATAAGATACTGTTTTATGTAAGGTAATTTAAAGTTAAAAGTATTACAAACATCTTATGTATACACTGTAAATTTCAATTTTTCATAAATATACTGATTTTGTTAAATAAACTTACTCTTTGTTTTTCTCATTCTCTTCATCCACCTTTTTCTTTTGATATTCAGCAACAAGAGTGTCGAATAGCACAATCCTTTTGTATTTATAAAAGCCATAAAGATAAGCATTACTGTGGGATGATCGACGGGACCCTTCCACAATATAAAGCTTATAAAGAGGAAATCCAACACTCGAAGCCAGCTCCTCTATACGGACCCTTAAATCTCCCTCTGGCAATGGTGTATATTTATCAAATAGTGGAGCTACTATTTCTGGGTAGATCATCATTAAGACTAAGCTCATTATGACAATGAACAACCACAAGTAAAGACAAAAGTAATCACCGCCTTGCTTTACGATCCATACCATACCACTTAACAATGGTGCAATAAGAAACTGCAAATTTACAAATATATTTTGGTTATGTATATAAAATTCCTTTACTTTCACATAATTATTATAAGCAAAGCAATATATCCTTATACAAATAGACAACATTTTATTTAACATCAATTTTTGTTTATACCTTTCCTATATATATTAACATGAGTATTTAACCAATCTATTAAGAGATTATTAAGTAATATTAATAAAGAAATAATAATATAATAATAAATTATACTATTTTACTATTAATTTATTATATTTAAAAACACTTTTGTAATTTGTAAAATTTATACCATATAATTAGTAAATTTTATAGAGAAATTAAAAATATTAAATATATTATATTAAAATCATTATATAATTTACAATATTGTATAATATACACAATAGTATAGAGCTTATATTATTGTTTTAGCAAAAAGAAAATAATTGAAATTTATTTCTATTAAATGTCTTTATTGCTATGATGATTGTTAAAATTGAAAGTCTTTAGTTCCATTTAATATTCTTAATTTTTCAAATTTATAAATTTCTTTTTTGCATAATATAATTACCTGTGATACGATAAATTTAATAATCTGATCCTTTACAAAGAATAGTACGGTTTGATTGTTGAAGTTATGTTTTTGCTCAAGTACAAAGGTGTAATAAATGGTAAAGGGAAGATCGCATAGAATCATAGAATAAGTCCTTGTCACTGTGATACATCCGATAGACACATAAATTTCGTTATTTGGATCAAGACCACAAAATTCTACAAAGTTCCTTCCCCATTCCCAAGAATAGTAAAAGCCCCAGCAGGTCATGAAAACCTACAAACATTGAACAGTCATTTTATTATAAAGTATAGTAATTTTTATTTAATATTAAATCTTATGCATTATTATATTTTCCTTACCGTATCCATAAAAATAGAGTATACATCTTGAATAATCTTGAAGGTACTTTTATCTAAAGCATAAATTCGTGACTTGTCGTATACTTCCACGGATAATAAATTATTGAGGACCTCTGGCAATCCAACCAGTTTTTGCATTAATTTCCGCTGAAAGTAAAAATTTGTTCTTATAAATATATGCGCAACACCCCCCCCCCCACACATATATATATATATATCCAAGCATAACGTATATAAGTTTTTTATACTAATAATGATTAAATAATAGAAGGAATATATTTGATTCGCGATGAAATTTATGCAATTTTTTTCTTCTTCTGCTACTGCCAATATATATATTGCATATATATATTTTAATTTGATTATTATATTATATTACTTATATTATAAAGAAAATAAACTATAATTTAAAAATTATTTTATTTCATTGGTATATCTAGTCTACTTTTATTTTAAATATATAAATCGTCGAAGATATATATATATATATATATATATATATATATATATATATATATGTATAAACTAAATATATCAAATAGAACAATAAGTGTTTCACCGTATTTATACATCAACATATAAACATTTTTACTTAACATTTAATAATTATTTATAAGAATTACTTTTATTACTAAATAATTGTGTTTATATAAAAATGTTATAATAACCATCAATGATGTAACGGCCCATACAACAAGATGCTAAATATTAATAAAATATTTAACATAATATATAGAAATAAATGGTAAATTGATTTGAAATGGTGTGTAAAAGTTGGCGTGGTTAAGCCAAATCATGTGATAAGCACACATAAGAAGCAAATTAGTTATAAATTATTAATCACGTAGGTTCTCGAATAATGATTGTCTTTACGATTAATTTTGCAGTACAATCAGCGCAAGTAATTTTTCAATGCCCAAAGCTCGGTATTCTCAATTCCTGCAACGTGTTCAAATTCGCAAACTACAGAGGACAATAGATCCATCCGTTAAATGCACAATATCCACGCTTTGCAATCTCATAATGTCGAAACAATTGAACAAACCTGGCGGATAGAGAGATACAGCTCCCACAAACAAATAATCCATAATATAAGAACGAGTTGGGCAAGAATGTGGCGTTCAAAAAAATTCTTCACTTCGACGGGCTTCGTCATTAGCTCCTCCATTTTTCAAATTTTCAATATTCACCTCGGCCCGCAGCCCAGATCCTACAACAATAACGTAATTTTCTTCAAGTCCGTTTATACAAAGCCGTTAAACATGCCGGTGAACCGAAAGCGCGTGCTTATGATGTAAGTATACTGTAGACTGCGGTAGCTTTTTTTTTTTTTCTTTTAAGCTACGTGGGACAAGCGCCTTCTGGTTCCGTATGCATCAATTCCATTTCTAGACTTAGGTATCGATGATTGGTTAGCTTGGCTTGAAACTATTGGCGCCGTTCACGATTTAACAGAAACGAAGCGCAGCGCAGACTGTCGAAGAACGAAGCTTTACCTAGACGAGCTCGTTACAAACATGGAAATCAGACTGCAAGTAAGAGTGTTTGCTGGTCAGGTCGGGCATCTATGTTATCCTTACTCTAAAGCTTCTTCCAAGCGCTAATCGATACATCTTCTGCGTTCCAGGCATGCAAACCTATTAGGGCTGCTCGCTATGTGGCTCCTTTAATTCCTTTATTTGAATTTTCTAGCCAATGGAGGTGCATGAGATGGCACTGAAGTGGGCATGGGTTGGGTAATTGTATTTTGGCGACAATATGCATTGAGAATAAATTTGTAAATAATTAAACGATAACGAGCTGTTTAATACAAATATTTATTTACTTTAGTTTCCTCGGGGTGTTTAAACATTACTGATTTATAGAGTATCGCGAAAAGGTTTGTCAATAAAATATTTTTCAACGTTTCACTCTTTATCGCAGTGGTCTCAGCAGCTTTCGGCTTTAATAATTTAATTATTCGATGTTTTGGGAAAATTATAGTTGCATTACTAGAATCCATGATTAATGGAAATTTTTTCATAAAAATTCCCTTCCATCGCTGAGAACATTATTATTGTTTTACGTAGATGGATAGATAGGTAGTTAGAGTAGATCGTAATCGAATTTAAAAATTATAATGCACGTAATTTTATTAAAACTTTTTTGTTTATTTCGTTTTGAGAGAAAAAAGTTTTGTTTCATATATGTATATATGTTGATTAAAGGATAATGGATTTAACGTTTTAAATGAACAATCGAAATTATTTAATATTATTTAATATTAGGTTTGCCACATAAATATATATATATATATATACATATGATGACGCCAATCCTTATAAGCAAATATGTTTCAAACAGCACTTATTACTCTCTGAATATGTATATGGAAATTTTATGCAAACACGCGCGCATAAACGCTAACCAAAAAAAAAATGTAAACGTGCCTGTTTATATAATTTAAATCAATCTATACTTGGGCATTTAAAAATGTTTACACAAAATACCAATAGACGAATTATCATCGACATGACTTTTTTGTGCATGGGTGAACGTGTCCGTAGCCTTTATGTGTTAAAATATTAAATTAATTATGATTATTCGAAAATTCAATTTAAAAAAATTATAAAATGTACTTTATATCTTTTCACCATTTTCATGAATTTATTAACTTTTCGATTTAAAAATTTTTTGCGCTACAGTTTGAATACATTCTTAAAATTAATAAATATGAATAAACGTAATTGATGTACAACTTTAGGTTTTACAAGTATTAATGCTCTTATATATAATTATATAATTTTTTAACATGAAAATATAAAAAATATATTTCAAAGTGATAAGAATTATTTTTACTTTGAAATTATTTACAAAATAAATATTATTCTCTTCTTAATAAATATCATTCTCTTATATGCACATATAATACATCTACATGAATTCGTAAAAGAAACTTGCAAAGCTCGTGTTCTTTTGCTATTTTTATTCTTGATACAAATCAATCTTCTTTTTAGAAAATTTTTTTAATAATAAAGTAATAAATTTATTCGATAATAAGGCAATAAAAATTAGCGAATTCTGATTAAATTTCTTTTTTTTTTGTTGATTTAAAATTTTTTTTGTTTTTAAACCAACATGTCTTATGCAAAAATAATATAACAATATGTATATTATATAAAGAAAAAAAAATTATTTACGAATTAAATAGATAGATAAAGATTTATTTGGAAATTATAATAGTTAAATAATATTTAAAAGTATAGATAGTTTTCAAGGGATAAATTCAGTTGCTAATTAGTATATTAAGTTCGTGAATATTAAATTCTTGGTAAGTCAAACTATTTCTGAAATTCACATTTACAATGCTATCATAAGAATACTATCGAGCAAAATCTTTAAATTCTAATTAAAGATCGAACAAATAGAAGTATGTGTAATTAAAAAATTAAACGTGTATTTTTAATCTATCTTATTGGCATATGTACTGGGACAAATTTTTTTTCCGACGAATTATGCTTAAAGTTATTTAGTTTTCAACTGCTTTTATCGAATATCACTTGACACAATTAGAATTTTGCACCTACATACTTTGATTAAATGGTAGGTGACATTTTCTTATTTTCTCATTAATTTGTAATACGTTAATCCAAAGTAAAATTAAAACCTGTCCGCCACATAGCTTTACAAACTGCTCAATAAACAATAATTAATAAATTATACTACATTGTTTTATTTCATCTTCCTTCCGCTATTTCTTTCTTTAAATTCAAAGTACTCGCATTTGTCTCTTTATAATCCCATTGGCATGGAAAGGCACATTGGACCAAGGAATAAGGAATTGCGAACGAGGAAAATGTTCGTATAAAATATGAGAAACAGAAATGATATCGAAACGCGTGTTTATGTCCACCAGTAGTGGCGCTGGAATCTTTACGATTCGAAATAAGAATTTTTTCTTTTTTTCTTTTTTTCTTTTTTTCTTTTTTTCTTTTTTAAATGATAGGAACGTGACCGAGGATGTAAATAGAAAGAAACGAAGACTAAGCATTTAATTGATAGTTAAATTCTCCATTGAAATTCGTAAGCTTCCAACAAAATTTTGTGATTATTTGTAGTAAAGTAATTAATAATTGCTTACAATCGCTAATTATTTATATTTAAAAAGTGATGTGGCTGTGAAGATCGAGCGCTGTGCGTATAACCTCAAACAAATCAGCATAATTATTTAACATTATTATAATAAAAAACCGACATTATTGGCTATTGTGCTTTATTATACGAAATCGAAGGAAAATAATGCAGTCAGAATTTCCATTAGTTATTTAGAAAAAGTCGTAATTGCATTGTAAATTCAGTGAATTGGATATTGGAAACACATAAGTATCTTATTATCCATTAAAAAATACAGAAAAAACAAAAAATCAATTCAAACAGTATTTGGTATAATACTATTAGACGTGATTTTGAGTTATTTTCATACAAGGGAAAGTGATTGGGTTGAAAGTGTAAAATGCCCAATTGAGCAATTGAAGATGAATAAATCTGCTAATGATCAGTCAAAATCCAAAAATTAATGACAATATTAAATGTATTCAAGTATAAAAATAATTTGTCCATTTTTTGATAATAAAATTTTTGAATGTTCATTAATTGGAAAAGTTGTAATGTTTAATATGTAATATTTTATAATAATTGAATTTTAATATAAAAGTATGATATAAAATGTTAAAGCAAAATTTTATTGTTGTAATAAAAGTTACTCGTTAAGATTTTACATATTAACAAATCTCCAATTAAGATGTAAATTTAGTGATTACGTCGATACTTCATCATTAATTTAATCAAATATTTATCATTTGACTAGATTGTATATTATAAGTTATATTAATTTATAGGATCGATTTACTTATTAATTATTTGCATTCTATTAGTTCGTCATTTATAATGTGTCGTTCATTCATAATGTTGCCGGATAGAATTGTTCGATGATAAAAAATGTGAAAATATCGTTTAATTCTCCCCGTTCGTTTACTTAAATAAAATTTAATAAAATTTGAATGCCTCTACCGGATAACTTGTTTACCCCTCCTAGCTACGGCAAAATCTCTATCGAACACCTAGTGATATTCGGTCGCTGGCGCCCTCATCTTCATCTGATGTTCACGCAGCGCTTTATCCCTACTTTTTTTCAATTCAAAGACGAAGATAGCACTGTGCGAAATTCCTTGATGTCTGTGTCTCGGCCGCGGGACTAGAAGCAAAGCTCGAGTTGTCTCATTAAGGCGAGTTGGGCCATACAAGGGTATGGTATATCACGGTCTAATTATATTTTCCATCGATCACTCATGTACGCATGTTACGACTCCTACGTGAATACAGCACTTAGGTACGGTTATATTTCATATTTTTTTTCTTTAATTTTTTTTTTTTTTTTTTTTTTTTTTTTTGTTTGTTTTCTGTTATTGTATACGTTTTCGATGTATGTGCGCGTTCGTGGTGGTTCCACTTGTTGATGATCGTACCTTTCTCTTCGCGCGTCTAATTATCTGTGACGCTCATTGCCAGTAGTACGTCGGAATTCGGCTTGTTTCTGAGAGATAACAAAGAGAAATGTTCATTATAGTACATATTCTATGAAATTCTGTGTAAAGTGAGCGCAAAATTGCAAATAATATCATTCACTCTACGCTCGACGCTCCCCGAGTAAAGTGTTTTACTAATATAACTGAGCTATTGTGAATTGTTAACAATGATATTTATATTATATACATTGATTCATATTTATCAATTGATGATGTTGTGCGTAATATAAGGTTTATAAAGAATTAGAAGAAATCCGGCTGTAAAGTACTACTATTTATTTTGTAAAATTCGTAGTGGCGGTTGTCTAGAAAATATATATACGTATATTTTTCTGTATAATTATAAATGATATCATGTGTTCTCTCGAGTGTTGAATATAGTTTTCATTTTAAACAAATATACGATTTACGATAGATAAACGATCGTGTAATTATAAAACAATCATTATGGAGAGAAATATCGTCAGTTAAATAAATATTTATTTTTTATTTTTTTTTTCATATAAGTTACAAAATACGATCGATTTCTTTGTTAAGCACCTTGAAAATTGCTTACGCTGCTTATGTATTTGCACAGTACGCGAATTCGAATGTGTGCCAACTTCTTTTTAACGGACGTAATATACGTGACGAAGAATTGCATGGTGTTTACGTGGTTTAAAGGGAGATAATTTGAATAAAGTTTAAGACAGTTTATCGTTCTTAAATCTCAATATCAAGATATTTATTTCTGATATGTCTAATATAAATTCATTTCGTACAGTCATTGTCTTATCATATCTTATACGTACTAGATTAATTAGGAATTATTAACAAAGTACAAGTAATATCGCTGATTTTATATGAAAAAATAAATATGCTGGAAAATATTTTGTTTATAACTGTTGACGGAGAAATTTACGATTAAAGTCGTATTTAAACGTTGGAAAATCATTCGGCTAAGTCAAACACGTTTAGCTTAAAATTTACAAACATAATAATTGTTAATTAATTGAATTCTGTGATACGCGATTATAAGTATTATATCGCAAGTATTATGTACAGCCTAAACATTACATAAGAAAATTTCCATTATATTTAATGACTGATATCGATTGATTTAATAATAGCAGTAAATTCATCATTTAATTCATTTTTATCGTTGAAATATTCTGTCATGTTTATTTTATAAATAATAAATTCAAAATCATTCTCTGCATTCATGCTTTATAATAATAACGAAACATTTTTCATATTTATAAATAATTTTTTTCTTTTCATTTTATTTTGTTGAACTTGTCCGCGTGTCCGTGCATTTATAATTCAGAGAAAAGTACAGGCGTGATAAAACTTTTCATATTTCTTCTACATTTTCATTCGACTTGAATTAACCTTGCATATAAGTTATACAACATTATCATAAATTCCATATCTCACCTTTTAAGAATTACAGGAATTATTTTCGACCCCTACTCCCATAACCGTATAAGATATTACATTTCCACTTGTAAGGCATAAATAAAAACTAATGATATTTAATTGTTGATATCTCAAAACACATTGTAAAAATTCTAAAATAGTTATTCCGAGAATGGACAGTTTTTAAAATATGAATTCAATATATGTTAATAAATAATTTTAAAACTTGTTAGAAATTTAATGAACCCATTTACAAAAACCTTAATCGCCTTGAAATATATTACAAACTCTCAACAATATCGTTATATTTTTTATTCGTGCGTTAGATGTTATAATCATTGCATTATTATTATGATAATATTATAAATAAATTGCAAAAACTTTAAAAGAACATTAGAATTTCAAATAAATGAATTGTATGCCATTTGCATTCGAATGAATGCATGAAAATAACAAAAAATTTCTTAGTATTTACTTTATTACGGTATTAATTGATTAAATTTGTCTCTTCTTATTTACTAAGAAAAAAAGTAACGATTATTACGATTGAAAAACTACACTGCCAATAACGATGTTTTTAATTCTGCGGTAATATTCTAATTGCTAATAGGCAATTACTGTTGAAATTTTTTTTAATGAAAAAGCAATTATATTTATAAATTCTCGAATGCTGTTTCAGAAGGTCAAATATTTTCAAACACCTCATTATTAATTATATGATAGTCGAGTAAAGCGTAAGAAAATTCTATAAGAAAAAATTAATAGTACAAAAGTTTTGACGATTAGCACATAATTATTGATAAGTATTTACAAAAACTGACTAAATTAATCAACATTTATTTTAAACAAAAAGTAAATGTTGTAATACGAATGATGAATGTAATATAAGAAGATCGTATACCATAAATACCTCTAATACTTGTATTATCGATCATTTATTCTTAAAAATTGTTCTAAATCATCCATTCTTAAAACTTATTAAAGCTTTTATTATAAAAAAAAATTATTATTCTTGTTCTGCATTAATTTTACAATTCTACTTTCTTTTTTTTTTTTTTGTAATAAAAAAAAATCCAAATACTACTGACTGATATTGATAATATTAATAAATCCATTATCCTTTTATTGAAATTAAATAAGTCACGTTCACAGGACGAGTTAAAAGACAGTGGGCGCCATGAACGTGATAAATTTTATAAGCGTTCCCGCTAAAAATACTATTAACCAGACATTCAAAGGCAAGGAGCCATGGGAAATCGCGGGAATGACATCGATTACTATTCTCACCGTCGTTTGGTTCTATAATTTCATCTTTCAAGAAGAAAGTAAACATCCATCACATTGTTAATAATTTAAGTTATAAAAGCATACATAAATCATGTTATCGATAGAAGGTACATTATACTAATTGTTATTTTCAGTAATATTTAATGTAGAATAATATTCATTTCATTATGCAGATAAATTAGAACTATTTATAATGAATAGGTATTATTTTATATTTTTACATTAACTATTAATTTACTTTTTACATGATAGGTTGATATATGTAAGCTTTTTGTATTAATGAAAGTAATCAAAAAAAAAAAAAAAAAAAAAAAAATATGTGCATCAGATAAATATTACAAATACATTCTTAGTAATTATTTATTATAATTATAGTTTAATTATTTATCCATATGCGTAACATATATTTTTAAATGCATTTTTAATCACGTTTTATAACAGACATTTTATGGATAATTTTTTATGTTCGAAAAGGTTTTTTTTTTATTTTTTTATTTTTTTTTTTTTTTTATAAAAATCAAGCGTCTATTTCTATAAATTTATAATTGTGTTGTTCAAACAATGTACAATTTTTTCTTAAATATATTTATTAAAAAATTGAATCAAAACAAAACTTCTCATTCATAATTAATTAACTGTTTCAATATATATTTCATAATATAAGAAGATTATTATAAAACAATCATATTTTCATTTTTGGTCTATTATATGACTTATTGAAATATGATAATAAATTTAAAAAAAATCATAATTTATATGATTATTATATAAATAAGATTAATCGTTCAAGGCTTATTAAACTACATGATTTTGTGATAAATACTATAATGTTGATAAATCATTATCTTGAAATAATAGACAATTTTTATTCGTAGATATTTTATATTTTTTTTAATCTTTTTGAATTTGAATAATTATATTTTCCTTCATATTTCGCGACATCCTCCTTTCTACATACATATAATATATTTATTTGTATGGCTTTATAATAAATTTTAATGAATATTTACCGAGTTTTTGTTTGTTTGTTTTTGTAGTAGAATTAAATATTTTATGTATTTTCAATTGTATTTTTCCGAGAATTATGTATGCAAATTATATAGTTTTGTTTGAGCAAGAGTTTTGTAAAAAATTTATGAAATTGAGTATTCCCGGATATTTCATTAATTTAAAATATAATAGATGAAACAAGCATTTTGACCAAAAAGGATTTGATAATAGATTAAAGGCAAAGGAATAAAAAATTATCCGTAATATTATACATATTTCTTTAATGAATACGTATCGTAATAAATATGGATAAAAAAAAACAACAACTAAGCTATTATATAAATAAACTCCGTGTTATAAATAAAGATTAATGGAGAAAAGAAGGCTCTTGTGAAGCACGTGATGATTGGTACATTTCAAGTGCCGATTTTCTTTCGTCATTTTCACGTAGGACATTCGAATAATGTACATAGACATACTAGTAAACGTATGTCGTGAGCGAAGTACTTTAAACGAGTTCCCGTTGCATGCAGGTATTGTGGAACGAATCAAGAAATCGGCATTGAAAATGGTGCGCCGCATACCAGCCGTTCGAAACAAGATTAATAGTGAATTGAAATGTCTGAGCGAGTCGTTTGAGGAGGAGGCAATTAATAGAACAAAGGCCCTGCCTTACATAACGAGTCTCCCCAACCAGGGTATCGATCTCAACGAAATCCTGAAACTCGTGGAGAGCAGCGTTTATTTAGGTAAGTAACTTGATCATCGTCATCGTCATCGTCATCATCATCATCATCATCATCTTCTTCTTCTTCTTCTCCTTCTTCTTCTTTTTCTTCTTCTTCTTCTTCTTCTTCTTCCTCTACTTTTTCCTCTTCTTACCTTGGTTTCGCTGATAGGAAAGGCAATCCCTGTTGTAATATTAGAAGCGTTGACGGGGAAATTCATGAGTTTGCGCGCATTTTCCAGTGATTCGTTGCTTGGGAGGACAGGATGGAGAACAATTTCTGAATTATCGATATCTTCTATCCAGTTAAACATTACAATACATGTCGATGTCTTTTCTTTTCACTACGCTCTTTTACGTTTATATGAAAAAACTTTCAAATATCTGCAAAAATATATAAAATCGCAATATTTAACAATTTAAATTTAGCATACTTACTGTATGATCCAAAGTTTGATTTTAACAAAATACTTGTTTAAAATTATGCACAATTTTAATTTACGAGTTTATTTAATATATTTCATATACGAAAATAATTTCAAGCAAGCGTGTAATTTATATAATATAAAGCTAAGAAAGATTTTATGTGGTTGATCATTGTATTATAAAGGTTATTCTTTTTGTTTAACTAAAAACACGTTATTTAATAATAATATAAATTGAAAAGAACAATAGATTTTTCATTTAGATCAGATTATTTATTCATATGAATTACAATTTATCCCAACCATTATAATAGAATTGTGTTAACTCAACTTATTTCTATAACGAATAAAAAAAGTTCTTATTAGGGTAACCTTTTTTTTTTAGGGAAATTTTTTTTTATAGCAATTAATATGTAAGACTGATAATTTTACATTATGAAGATATTTTTAATAGATTCCAGGAATGATAATAAGAATAGCAGCTAATGACGATGATTCGTAAATCATTCGGTACATTTTTTTAGAAATTACTTTCTACATTTTTACACGTATAAACAAAAACGTAAAAATCAAAGTGAAATGTAAAAAGAAAATTAAAATATTTGTCGGAAAACATTGGGAAACATCTTTTTAATTTTATAAATACGTCAGATAGACTTATATTATACTTTAAAATAGGTTAATGGCACAAAATCAATTTTTTGTTTTATTTTTCCTTTTGTCAGAATAATTGATACAGATATTGAATTTTATTCAATGTCCATTTTTATAATATTTCATGTAACTTTACATAAAATTTTTTTCATTGTAAAATTTTATGCAATTTAGTCCATCAATCTCATAGTCGATTTCGAATTCTGCTACTCAGAAAAATATTACTTTAATGATTTTTATCGAGTTTTGCAGAATGTTTTCAAAAATTAAATATTAAAGATTAGTCATATACAATGAATTCAATGATTCTTCATTCTATAGATAAATTATTAATAAATATTAATATCATATATAATCCACATTGATATAAAATAAATTTACAAAAACTAAATTACATATAAAATAGCTGAATATAGTAAGTTCTCAAATTAATGATTACATTAATGAAATTTTTCTTGCGTTCATATTGTAATTGTTAAATTTCATAAAATACATTAATTTTTATTATATAAATATTTGCATAGATATTGTAACACAAAGCATGAACAAGATAAGATTATTGTAGTTAATTTACGTTATTATTTCGGAAGAATGAATTTTTTTTTTATATAATTCTAAATTATATTATATTATAATAAATCATATATGCATATAATATTTAGAAAAAAATTTTAATTCTTATAAGATATGATATTTTAGAAAATGAGCTGAATTTTAATGAAATATAATTTTCAATAATGTATAATAAATATAATAAATATCAAAATTCATTAAACATATTTCTGCCGTGTAAGAAGTGCATATTATTGCTTATATATTTATGCTTAAACTAATAATATATATCATTAAAACAACAAAAAATTCATCTAATATTTAATAATTACAAATATTAAAAACATTTTTGAAATGAAGAAGATCGAGGCTTTTGAAAAAAGTTTCCATTTCAAATGATCGTTTTACAAGAACAAATCATATTTATCTTATGAAACTGTTTGTATTAAAAATGATGTAATAAAATATTTTCATCTATGCACAAGTATTAGTGAATTATAGAAACAATATGTGTTTATTTGAATTCTCTTAAAATGCGTTTGGAATTTAATAGTTCATTAAATATGAGAATATCAAATATCTGTAAAAACGTTATTACGAATATGAAGGAAATCGAATTATGGCTTTTCTCATCTTTACCACTCCTCCAACAAGGTATCAAATATCGCTCGTTTTAAGGATAAATCCGTGTGACCTACTTCTTGGAATTTTCGGAAATGTGGCTGACACATAAGTGTGCATATATATATATATATATATATATATATATTGAAATGTAAGGTAATGTTTCAATTAATATAATATAACAACTTTTTTACTTTCTTTTTTTTTTTTTTTTTTTACGTAAAGGCAATTATGACTGGAAGAATGGTCGAGTGTCCGGATGCGTGTATAGGAACGCGGAAACAGATCTCAGAACGCTCGTAAAGGAGGTTTACAGTTTAGCTTCACTTACGAATCCTCTTCACCCGGACATTTTTCCTGGTGTTTGTAAGATGGAGGCTGAAGTGGTTCGAATTGCTTGTCAATTGTTCAACGGCGATGGCAACTCTTGCGGCACGGTAAATATTAATTACTTCCGGAAGTTCGATATATACTTGTAATCAATCATCGATCTTAATTTTCGTCAACAAAAGCAGTCCACGAATTAATAATTTCATTCGTTGTATTGAAAGAATATATACATAAAAAAGAACTTTCAATTCAGTTTAGTGGAAAGTATTTTCATAAGTTTGGTTGTTTTCTTTTTTATGAATGACGTTATATGTATTGTTAAAGTATTGCTTTATAGAAAGTACAATTATCAGTATTTACATCTTTACATTCTATTAAAATATAAAATTGCAAGTTTAGATAATGCTATTGAATGAATTAGTGAAACTTTATTTGATTATTTTTATTTATAATAGAAACTGTACGTTACTTTAAATGCATGTTTATTAATATTTTAATCAATAATATTCATTTGAGTTATATTGTTATATTGTTATTTGTATTTGTTATATAAATTTTCATTATTAATTTTTCATATTTAATTTTACAAATTGACTACTCTATAAATTGGATACATTGAACTTTAATGTTTTTAAAATCAAATTTCGACAATGTTTGTACTTAGTAATTTCACGATTAACGCTGAATTTGACATATTTATTAATAGTTTTATGCAAGTCGAATAAATTTAAATTGAAAATGAATAATTGATGAAAGAAAATAATTTTAATTTAAATTAATTATTTGTTTTAATTGTAATTTGGTTTGATATTTGGACTATTGTACATATTCAATATCATAAACATAAAATTTAACGCGATATGTATTAATTATACGTAGTTGTGTTGAAAAATATAATCTTTTATGTGTAATATTTCATTTCATATTAAAAAAAAAAACCAGTCTCGAGCAATAAAATTTATGCTTTATTAAGAGAATTGTTATTCATTTATATACTTTAGAAAAATAAATTTTCGAAGTATAGTTTCTTGAGATATAATATCTATTTGAAAAGCAATTACTTTTTCATATTAATATTTATTTTTCAAATAATATTTAAAAATTTAATAATAATAATTATATATAATTTCCATTAAATAGATATTTAATTTTCAGATTCGGTAAATAATATTTTTTTTTAATCAAACGTAAAGTTGTATTCATAAAAAATATATGAGATATTGTATTAATTTTTATTTGAAATTTTTACATACGATGTCAAGTAACCAACTATTTCTAATGTTACGACTTTAATGTTTACATTTTAAAAATATTATTTAACATGGAAAAAGAATAGTGCTAGATAGAAATATAGTCTAAATATTATTTAAAATTCTAATCTTTATTGTCGAACTGCAAATATGTAGATTATAAATTTGTTTATTATAAATTTTTTCATTTGCTTCAGTATGGAACAAAATTATACATTCGTGAAAATTATCAAATAAATATTACATTTTACTACGTCTTAATACTTTTATTAATACTTTCAGAAAATATTTTAATTTCAACTTTCCCAATCATAATGAAACTTTATTGTGGCTATGATTTTAATTATTGATGTAAAATTTACATAGACGCGGTTAAGAATTTTTGTATATAAATGACACATATTTATTCGAAAAATGATGTTCTTCAAATGACGGGAAAAGTGAAGATAACTACAATTTTTTTACATAACTATTTTAAATAGCAATAAAATTATAAATGCAAATATCGATTAGTTATAAGCCAATTTTGTACTAAAATTATCAATTTTTTCGGTACGGTACATAACGTCGATTAGTCAAGTTAACAATATCTATTTACTTATACAACAAGTATTTATTTTTTTATTGTATTATATTTAATGGTAAATCACACATTAATTCCTCTGCCTAATTTTACGCTTATGATTATTATCTTTCAATCGGGAGATTTAATAAAAGATTGCCAAGCCAGTAGAAATTATCCAAGTTAATCACAGTGATTAACAGTGACTCTAATGCCGGCTAAGCCGTTGAAAAATAATAATTGGTATGACCAATTTTACTAATATTAAAATAAAATAAAATTAAAATTAAAGTTACACAAAAATAAAAAAAAATTACAAAGTAAAAATCGAATTTAACAATAGAAGTAAGATTTAAATATAAAATATAAATATTAAAATATTCTTTAATATTTCATTATTTAAATTATTATTGTAATATCGCTATATAAGATGTATAGATTTTTAAATTCTATATTTAAATTAATGAGTAATTAATATCTAAATATCATTAATCCTATGAATACTGTTGAATATAAAATATAAACTAAAATTGGATGGAATTATTGCATACATAACATTCATTTTGGTAAAGTAAAAATTATTAGGAAATACTTGTATTATAAGTTATAAAGTATAATTTTATTTTTATTACGAAGAAGGATAATAAATAATACTTGATCTGCAACGGAATATTTAAGAAGAATTTTTTTTTTTTTTTTTTTTTTAAATAAGAAGTAAAATATGCTAATTAATTCACATAAAAACATAACATTATCAGTGTATTGAAAATATTTTTATAAATTGCTTACGTACCTTATTAGAATAATTTATATATAGGGAAGTAATTAACTGGAATATTATGTTCTTGGTTATTTGAACAATATTTATTATCGGTAGATGTAAGAAAACTAAATGTTTTAAATGATTATTTATTACAGATTTTATAGAAAACTACTTAAAAAGTAATTATGTTTCAAAATATTCTAAATTATTTTAATTTATATCGAAATTTATTTACAGATAATTAACAGTGGAATTTAATATAATTAAAAAGGTTTAATTGTGCAACAAACAACCTGAAATTTTCATTGAATTTATATTTTAGATTTCAATAGATTCTTAACTTTATTTAAGCTGCCTGATTTCGTTTAACATGAGATTAGATTTTATCTCGATAGTTTTGTTTTGTGTCGAAAACAAGACTTACCTTATTCAAACGAAGTTAACTTGTTTTTACTATCTGTTATAATATTATATTTACAAATTATGTTTTAAAATAATTTTTCATAAAAATATACTTTACATATTTGAAAAATATTTGTTTGTTTGTTTGTTTGTTTGTTTTTTTTTTATTTAAAGAATTCGAATGAAAAATACAATTAAATGTAGCGTTGTAAATTTTGAAAGAAATAAAAAATTTGTATGTTTCATATAAAATACGGCATTTTTAGAGGTTTTATTTACTTAATCAAATATAAAAGTTTGTGGACAAAAGATGAAAAATTAAAATTATCTGATTATAAATTTACAATATTTTATTCAAAATTATCTTTATTTATGAATTTATATGTAAACGAAGTGATTAATTTTATTTTTAAATTATTAATTAAAAAATTGGCCCTAGTTTAAATTCTTTTTCAGATGGAAAATTTACGTTTAATGTTAATTTAACTTTTTAGAGATTGTTCTTGGTAAGTCTCGATGTTCGAACGTTGACTAAGTAAACTTAAATAAAAAACAAAAAACAAATTAATATTTTATGGCTTAATCAAGGCAATATTGCAGGTTGATTTCCGATTACGATTATAAATTAATTAAGCTATTTTGTTAAAGTTTGTACTTTTTGAGGAGTGCCGAAGATTAATCTCGTTTGAAAATTGCAAATAATTTAAAATATTATTATTTTGGTTCATAAATATCCGAGACTTTGAGAAAAATGAGCCATCCGACGATTAGTGAAATGGCCCTTTTGCAAGTAATATACAATTTTATATTTTTAAGCTTAACAACTACGCAAGCTTTAAGTATGTCAAATGCTCGAGTAGATTTGAAAAATAAAGCGATTTCTTAATCACCGTTGTAACAGCGAACAAAGTATCCTTCGCAAACAATTTGTACAATACTCAAGAATTATTTGAAATGAAAATAAGATATTCCGCTTAATGAATTTCCATCGGATATATCTATATCCCTTGAAAAGTAGATCGTTTATTCAACGTAAATTAAAAAAATATTAAAAAATATATTTATACCTATTACTCTTTCCATTATTGTGCATTTCAATTCTTCGGCAACATAAAGTTTGCCAAAACAGTGCCGTATATTTATTCGATTTTTCCCTTTATAGACGCTTAAAAATTCCTTTAACCTTTTATCCAATAGCGCTTCCACCTTCCCGCAATAATTTAACAACATCTCCGACCTCACATTACAACGCTGAATAAATGCGCAAAAATAAAATGCAGGATAAATCCGACTATCGCATTTGTTCGGCGTTTGAGCGCTCGAGCCCGCGCAATCGTGCTAAAACATCGTCTCTCTAACAAAAGTCCACGACAAAATAAAGAGAAAAGATCGCCGGTGGCATACTTGGGCATACAGAGTCCTACCGAATCTAATTCGCAGTAAGAAAAAAGATTGTTCAACCGCCGGAGCTTAGACATTTAAGCCGCGAGCACTCGTATTTAATTTCGAGCAACGGTGTGGAAAAAGTCGAAGCACTGGGTTTCTTCTGTCTGCGTGCGCGCTTAAGCTAGACCACTCGCGAACAACAACAACCGTGCCAGGATAAAAGAATAGAGTAGAGTAGAGTAGCGTAGAGTAGAGTAGAGTAGAGTAGAGTAGAGTAGAGTACAGAGAGAGAGAGAGAGAGAGAGAGAGAGAGAGAGAGATATGAGAGATATGAGAGATGAGAGATGAAAAAAAGCGCGGCAACGACGCGCTCTTACCATCCCCAGCAAAGACTAACAAGTCCGCTGGGCTCGGGGGGTGGGTGGCCTTATTGCTTATGTTCGTATAGATGACAACAGGCGGCACGGAGTCGATACTCATGGCCTGCAAGGCCTTCCGGGATTACGCTCGCGATGTCAAGGGGATAACCCGGCCGGAGATGGTGATGCCAGTCACGGCCCACTCGGCCTTCGATAAAGCGGCCCAGTACTTGAAGATACGAGTGCGAGCGGTGCAGCTCGACCCCGACAGCTACACAGTCAACATCGCCGCTATGAAGCGGGCAATAACGAGAAACACCATTATGGTAAGTGTGTCTCCACCGTCCTCGCTCGTTTTTATTCTAAGGAGAGCCGCGCAAATCGGAATGGCGCCCATGACTCTTCGACTCCTTATCGGAGAAACTAGGCGCGCGATACTGGCTTTTAAAGCACTTTAGCCGCAGCTCCATAAAGTTAAGCTTCGAGACAATGACTGTTCGTTATGACCCCACATACACGATGGTTCGTCCTGAATACATGCAAATGCATGGCGCTTGTATAATAATTTATCATTATCCTTGGTACAGTGTTCATGCGGATATGTACACACGCGACCATGTGCGCATAGATGCAACATCAACAGCCTCGTAATCAGATAATTCAGCTTGCTTTCTTTCATTATTTATATGTTTCTTATTCTTTCTGCTTCTTCTTCCTATTCTTCTTCTCTTTCCAAAAGCAAACACAAGTATGCGTAAAGAATCGTGCATGAGTTTGCGAAAAGAATTTAAAATTTATTCCCAATGAATCTATGATCTTGGAACGTGAAATAAGGGAGATTATTTGGGTTTAGATTACGTGTTAATGAGCTAATGATATTTTCTAATTGTTCAGTCGTTTTAAACAAATAATAAGCAATGCGAATGAATCCAATCGTTTCACCGTAGGAAAGTCTTTTTTCTTTTTTGATGTCGTTGTTGTTTGTTTTTTAACCAACTCAATATTTCCTTTTTAGCATAATAAAAGAATAATTGAAATGTGTGTGTGTGTGTGTGTGCATTTATATAATTGCTTTTTTCATATTATATTTGCCAATTGATTAACGTAAGTCTTTATAATAAAATATTTTACATTACGTCACTTCACTTACCGACATTAGTTTTATCAATCTAGTTGCAATTACATTTGAAATCATGTACGTTATTGTACATTTGGGATATTCGAATAGACATTTAGAAACTTTAATGAGTTGTCCTACTATATTGACGAACGGTAGGAATAAAAGATCACGTAGCTAAAATCTCCCATAGAAATATAAAATAATGTAGAACGTATCAATTATTTATGAGTGACATTATTTGAAATCGTTGCACAATAATTTTTAACATTTCGTCGATAATGGCTATTGAAAGTTGAATATTAGCGAGGCCCCGTATCGATTGGTATTATAGAAAAAATAATTGTTACAAGTTCTTATTAATTATACTACTGCAATCGAATAGTTAATATTTATCGATAATAATATTATTGTCTAGTGAGTATATAAGTTAATATAAAATATGAGTGACATTTGTTGTTAAAACTGCGTAATTTTAATATATATTATGAGACGAATAAAATTGAATTGCGAAGTTTGATTTGCGTAAGTGAATTCTTTTAGATTTTCTTTATTTACAGATGCATTTTAGTCGAATTCACTCGGAATAATATGGTATTATGAAAGTTATTAGGTCATTTTGATGAAGAGAGATTAGCTTCTTGAGATAGTAAAACTAGAGCAAATACTAGTAGAAGTAGGAAATGACGATGCTGAAAGTGAAAAAGAGCAAAACGAAAATGAAGAATCAGAGGAGGAAGGAAAGCATGAAGATGAGAATGAATTTGAATGTATAGTGCTGACTAAAGTAGAGATTGAACTAAAAGGTATCGGGATTTACATAATTTATAAATTAAACATTTTAACTGGCAATAGACCTTCTGCTAATACGTTTTTTTAATAATTAGATTATTGGCATTTTTTGAGAATTTACAATATGGAAACATCATTAATTTGTCGAATTTTCCTTAATTTTTAATAACCTCTTTTTTAAAGCATTTTCGAAAAATTTATAGAAAAGTATTCCCAGCCTTTAATGTCAGCTAATTATGTCAAATACATTATGTCAAAAATAAATGTTTTACAATAAGAATAAAATATTATTGTATTAAAATGTTGTAGATTATGAATTTTGACGACTGCATGACATATTATTGGCGATTTAATGAAAATAAAGCAATTTTTCGTGAAATTTTAAGAAACATATATATATACATGAGCTTAATATAAATTTATTAAATTTGATTATGCCTACAAGCAATACAATTATAAGCATTTACGAACCGATGTTTCTTTATGCAGTAAATGCAACTTTACTTTATGTATTGTAAAGAAATTAGCGTGATAAAAACCGAAAGACTTTATCCTATAAATGGTAAGATAATTTATAGAGTTAAAGTAGGGAAATCACGTGAAGTAAAGTAGGTCGAAAGAATTACGACAGAAATCTCATTTTTATTCGGTAATTCTACTGGATATATTTGAAGTTTGTTATTTATTTCATGTTATTGCACTTATTAATTTAAATTATATTTGGAAAAATGAATCTTATACTCTTAGTGCCATGGCATTTAAAACTATTAATTTAGAGCTCGTGTGACACTAAGTAACTAATTCGAGAATATTTTTCTCTCTTTTGTTTTCCTTTACCAATGCAAAAAAACTCTTGATACATTTTTCAGGCATCAATAAAATAATAATTAATTTAACTACAATAGATAGTCATATAAATTGAATTTTATGAATAGATTATAGAAGAATTTTCTTTTTCTTTCTTTCTCATCTTTTAGCGACTCTGATTTCTTTCGCCTACCAAAAAAAAAAACAATATTTAATGATATCTTATATGTCCCTCGTTATATTTTATCTTAGAAATAATATTTTTCGCAGCAAATATCTCCAAAATTATATATTTTTCCATTACTAATACTATAAATATAATATATCATCGTGGATTAACGTAGCCGCGAGTGTACATTGAAATTGACCTCTACCGATATTCTAAACTTTCTACTACAATTCTTTGGAACTTTATCATAATAATTATATATATATATATATATATATATATATATATATATATATATATAATTTCTATCGTTAAATAATACATTATTAATATTGTTGATCATTTTATTTACAAACCAATAAATGTCTTATTGATTTCCTTAAGTTAATCATTCCTATTAATTTGATTCACGCTTATGAGTAATGACATATTCATGACACTAAATTTTGATCGATTGTCTATTAGAAAGAGTAATACGGTCCATTAGATTACCTCATAAAGATTTAAGAAAAAAAATAATATTTACTTTAATATGAATGAGTTAAAATCAATAAAAAATATACTATGCTGATTTATACTGGAATATTCAAGTATGCACATAAAATTTATCTGAATTTTTACATGAAATTATAGTTTATCTAGAACATTTGCATTTACAAAATAATAATACCACCACAAGTACATAAATAGTTTCAATGAACTTTTAATGCATAATGTAGATGAAAAAATTAAATTACAATACCGAAAATCTATATTGCTATATTAACTAATAATGTATACTCAATTAGATATTTTATGATTCCTAGGTGTGCCATGAAATAGTTTTATCCTTCATTTTATTCCATACATCCCAAAGGAATAAAGAATATAGTTAATCTTTACGTTAAAAATATCGATGACTTAAAATATTCTTTAACGACTTGTCTATCGGGAGAAATGATGTAAGGAAATTTATGGCATTTGCTTAATAAATATGAGATTTGGGAGATAGTATAAATAAATTAATTGTTTCACTATAAACATTCGAAAATTATTATATTTTAGTTGTATAGATGCGCAATGTAAACATTTATAATGAATTAAGTTTATAATCTGTATTAGCAATCTGTAAGCATTACTATCGATCGTTTATTATTTTCAATATGCGTATATTTAAAATTCATACATTTCAAATTATGTAAAAGTTCATTGAAAGTAAGCTATTGGCGTTTTGAAAAAATATAAGAAAATGATTAAACATCTTGCGTATTTATAACATGATTTAAAGTATAATTACATATAATCTAAAATATGAGTATAATATATAAATGCTATAGACATTACATTACGTATAAACAAAAAAACAGTCATTTCAGAATATTTTGGTATGAAAATCCATACATCGCAGATATTATATATATGAAGAACTGTAAAGCTATTACAAGGAAAATATTTATTACTCTCGGAAGTCAATCTATATTCATTAGTTCAATCAAAAGTACCGAAATTGTCTACAAGTGTGAATTTATATTAGCGATAGTCATTATTTCGGGAGCATTTAACTCTTAACTTTCATTTAATCTGTTTCATAATACTTATATAAGAATAATGTTAAATTATAACGATCGAATGTCCTTGTGCAACCAAGTACTTATCCCACTTTTAAATTAACCCTTATTCGCACGTGATTAAGTAAATCTTTCATTTTTCACTATTACACACGAGAACCTTCGATCATAATATTTGAAAATAGTTAGTTATACAATGAAATGGTATTATACATGATTTCTATCTTTTTATATTATAGTTATATCTTTGTTGCATAACTTTATTATTTATATTTATTATGTAATTATATATATATATGTAATTCATGGTGTGCGAAAAACTAGTATGTTTATAGGAGTTAATTTATATGAAATCAATATTTTTGCTCGTCGTTTAAATTGAACGGGATTATTTAAAAAAAAAATAGTACTTTTACGAAAATTATCTTAGCCATTGTTTTTACAAATATAAATAACCGGTAATCAGAGGGAACTTACTAGTAATATGATCTACGTATACACTAACAAAAGATAAATTAAATAAACGTATGTTTATTAATGGATTAAATTTGATTCGAATGAATGTTAAATCTTCTTTTTTTTTTTGGTTTTTTTTTTGTTTTTTTTTTTTTTGTTTATACGGTATTTCATTATTATTCTAGGAAATTATACATAATATAGAAACTAATAATACAAAGGTTTGCTTGTTTGATTAAATAACGAGTAAAACATAGATAAGTAAATAAAGTATAGAGTAAAATAAAAATGTATATAAATAACATTTATAATTGTATTATTATGCAGTAAGAGCTCAGCACTAATCGTGTCAAATGAAGAGTGGAAACGTTCGTTTCAAGTGGACGATAAAGGCATGACGTTTAATGGTTGTGCCGTAAATGATTGTCGTTAGCATAGCATCGCTCTTTATCGCTCGGGCTTTCCTTATCGCTATGAAAACTTTGCAAATTGTAAAGTAGCGAAACTTGGGAAAAAAAGTAAGAAACTGATGACAAGGCGTCGCGGGAAAGTTACTTGCCACGACGATCGACCCCGCCGTCCAATAAGTACAATGCACGAATAAAAATGGACGATTGTCGGTTAGTTTAGTTTACTGTTGAGCTCAAAATCCCATGAAGCCTTGTTAGAGTTGCGAAAATTTTTAGTGTCCATAGCCTTGATGAGCCTCCGTTATTGCTGAATATTCCGGCATTATCGATCTCATCATCATGGCCTGTCGGTAAAAAAAAAAAAAAAAAAATAAGCCGGGCTAACGTGTTGCGCTCGTTGTGCGCTTAAATTAGAAAATTTTTTGTTTATTACACCCGATTGCATACTACGCGCGTCGAATCGACGCTCCAAAGCTTGAAAATTGCAAAAAGCCTAGAGAAGGGCGGTGGATCGAAAAAAGCGATATCATCGCTAAAGTTCTCGACCTGGCACGAGGCTCCCCGGATCGTCCTCTCGACGGCCCGAGACGTCGCTCCCCTCTCTAATTGATCGAATTGCACGCAGCTGGTGTGCTCGGCCCCGAACTTCCCCTACGGCACGATGGACGACATCGAAGCGATCGCGAAGCTCGGACTACGTTACAACGTCCCCGTTCACGTGGACGCCTGCCTCGGCGGCTTCCTCATCTGCTTCATGCGCGCGGCCGGCTACAGCGTGCCCGAGTTCGACTTCCGTCTCGAGGGCGTTTGCAGCATCAGCGCCGACACGCACAAGTACGGATACGCGCCCAAGGGCTCATCGGTCGTCCTCTACAGGGACAAGAAGTACCGGCATCACCAGTTCACGATCACGACCGACTGGCTCGGCGGCATCTACGGATCGCCGACGGTCAACGGCTCGAGGGCCGGTGGCATAATCGCCGCCTGCTGGGCGACGCTCCTCTACTTCGGCCACGAGGGCTACGTCCAATCCACCAAGAAGGTCATCGACACCACGAGGTTCATCGAGCAAGAGTACGTATGCTTGTAATATCGCGAAAATCGGGATTACCGGGAAATGAAAGGGCCGAACGTCGAGCGACTACGGAGTCAGCGAGTAGAGCGATCATAGACGGTCGGGGTGCGGAACTTTGAGTCATATACTTGATTTGTGGGGAGTTGGTTGATTGGTGATACGGCAACTAATTATTCGATTGGTAGTTTGGCTTATTTGTTTGGAAAGTTGGCACGGGTACGCAAGTCAATCTGGACTTACAATTTGATTGAGTGCATTTATTTGAAGATTTTGTGAAGTAGAGATAACGAATTTGGAGATATTGTTTGACCGACTTGAATCAATAAACATTGTCGTGGATTAATTTTTTTAGCTATTCGTTGAGGATAATTTTTATCTTTAATATTTATTGCACGTTACACTGAATCTTTCATTACGTTTAATTAATGTTATATCGATTTTTGTTTTTGAGCAATTAAAATTTAAATTCTGAGGAACATTAGGACATTAAAATGAAATCAGTTTACTATTTATGATATGAAATCAATCCCTACGATTGAATGCAAAAATACTTATAATTTTCCGAGAATTCCGCGACATATATTACATTTTACATAACATTTTTGATAAATATTTTTAACGGCAAGTAATTATTATTAATATTTAATGCGCAGATAAAAGTATTCGAATTTTATATAATAAAGCTGCTATTTGTAAAACATTCTCCAGCTTGATATATAACCGACAACTTCACATAAACTTCTCCGACAAATTTATCCTAATGATTCGTAATTTTTTTTATATTTTATAAACTAGAGAAAAGAGTTACTGCTATCGTACTGTTGCTCGTGAAAAATAAGAAAATAAATTGAAATTTTGTAAATTCTTAATTTGTTAGATTTATATATGATATTTGTAACTACGCAATATCAATAATGTTAATAAATCATCATTCATAAGTTTTGGATGATTTCAGAAATACATACGATGAAAAAATTTAAAAAATTTTACTCACGAATAAACTTCTTTAAGGAGTGTAATTTCATTTTTCTAATAAATTTGTATATCATAAAGAAATCTTAATTATACAATCTTTTTCTTTTAATTGTAACTTTTTGTCTAGCCCATACTTTTCAAAACTTAATAATTTTCATTCTTTTCCACCATTACCTAACATCTACAAAATCTTCAGATTGTCAATTTCTCTACCATTACATTTCCATAGATTATGTTTTAATTTAATATTACCGTATATTATTAACCCGAGAGAAGTTCAAGCCTTATTTATGGCATTGACAATGCATTATCATATACCAATACCAATATATTCGTGTACATGATTTTACATTGTATTAACATAATATTATGTGTAAATATTTAAGAAATTAAATTTTCTATATTGCGTTTGAACTTTTTATTATTTATGAAACATCGAAAACATAAAATAATCTTATTATATATAATATTAAATTTGTTAATAGTTTTGAATAGTTATTCTTTTATGAATATAGGCAAAGCTAATTTAACTATTTGTAACAATTTAATTTCTATATTTTCTATACAAATTATTTCGTATAAATTTATCCTCTTTATTAATATATTCTGTTTTGTGAATGTTATTATTTAACATATCTAATGTTAGTAAATCGTATAGTTCTCTCACATTTTTGTATTAAATGATACTATCTAATACTTAAATAAATATAAATTGTTATTAGCAATTTTGTTTGGAATGGCAAATTAAAAAGAAAAAAAAAACTTGAAATTTTTAATTTAATTATATTAAAAATATACAACCATATACATGTAACAATCGTCTATTTGATAATGATCTTCATTTCTAGTAATTAATTTTATTTAAAATTCATATAAATATTCGTTAGCATGTCAAAACGATTTTCAATAAATTATTAAACTTTAATGAAAATAATATCTGTTGAAAATAAATTCGATAATACTTGTATCTTTAAAGTAGTAAAAAGAGAAAACAAATTATTATAAACGAAACTGGCATTTTGAAAATATCGAACATAATGTTATATCTGCAAAATAATATTATGGCTATTTAATGAAAATAATCATTATTTGAGTCGTATTATACTTGTATCATCATTGAATTTTCTCAATATCAAGATTTAATCTATAACTTAATGAAGTAAAGTTAAAAATAAAATTTTCCGAAAAGTTTTCAATGTACTGTACATAAAATAACCAATACTATCGGACAAAATATCTTGAACATTTCGAACAAAATTATATAATAAATACTGAATCAATATCTTAATATCATTTTTAATAAATGTTTTTAGTAGTAATAAAGTAAGTTATAAATGCTTTAATTAAAGATATATATATATAGGGATGTCAATCGTAATGTTTATAAATTCTTCTTTACTTGTATTATTGGCAATTGGTAAAAATTTGCAAATTTTTTAATACAAATCAGTCCATGTTAAATAAATAAATTGATATTTCATATTATCATATGAACATGTTGGTACAAATTGTAATTATAGTTTTATTTTTTTTAAATATAAATAATTTTGTGAAAGAAAATGTTTCCTAAACAAAAACAAACTTTTTTTCAAATTTAAAATTTCTAAAACTGTAGTCTAAAATTCGAAAACAAATTGAGTTTTGAGATACCAAAATAACAACTTCCTTTTCCGGTAAATGCATATTCTGGGAAGCGTAAAATACGTAAATACAGCTGAATACAAAAGAGATACATTTGATCTTCACTAGGTTGGATGGTACCCAAAATTTTCAACTATTCAAAGAAATATTTTTCTCTTCATATTTAAAATAAAACGACGACAGTATTCCTACGAATAAAACAAGTTGCTGAATTTAACATTATTTCATTTATATTTGTATCATATTTTTCAGTGTACTTCAAAGTGTCTAAATATATTTGCATATAATATATATATATATATATATAAATGAATTATTAATTTTAATAGTAATATTTAGTCATGATATTAACAGATAAACTTGTTCTAATATTTGCCAAGTAAGATTATACGAACGAAGGCATAAACTCATTTCATGACAAATGCCGATCATTCATCACATTCGTTAGAATTAATAATGAAAATAATAAATAATAATACACAAAAGATCGATTAAATAATGTATTTTTGTTAAACAATTATTAAAGGTTACGTTTAAATATGATTAAACAAATATATTTATTGTATAAAATTTTTTATATATAATATTTATTAAGAAATAACGAGTCTATTAACCATATTAAGTATATAATTCTCCCTTTATTTATTCTTTTAATTAATTTGAATGTAAGTTCCAGGGGCTTTGATCATTTGATCATTGTAAAGTACTAATTTTAATTTCACTAAGAGAAACTGAAATATCGAACATTATGATTAGTAACACATGTTAAATTAATATGGCTCTTCCGTAAGAAATTTCTTTATACATCTTAACGATATCCAATTTGATGTCAGAATAATTAGATTATAATTGCAGTCGATGAAATATTGTATCTTAAGTTTCATTGAAATAAAGTAGTCGTTTGCAAATTACAAGAGTTTTAATTATGAAAATGATTTCAGACGTTTCAATTTTTTTTTTTTTTTTTTTTGAATGAAATCGGAACAATTATTTCATATTATTGTCGTTATTACACAGCAATTTATTATTGTTTATAAGACTTTGTGTTACTGAAAGTTCTTATTATAATCATCTGATAAATTTGAATTAATGATAAATAATTAATTTCTAATATGTTTTAAAATAAACAAGAAATCTTAATTAAGTAGGGCATTACAATATCTACAACGACTAAATAAGTATGTACATATTTATGTGCGTACATCGCTCGAACACGACTAAAATTAATGTCACTATCGACCTTCAGCTTCAAGTTGAACTAAAGTTTAATGCAAAATATTAACAGCAAACAATAATATATAATAAATATTAAATTTTTGATATATTGAAAAGATCGTTTGTTTTTTTGTTTGTTTTTTTGTTTTTTTTTGTTTTTTTTTTTTACATACTTTTAATTAAAACTGAATCGAATTTTATTTTTGTACATACTATTATTATTATTGTGAAAAGTGTGTTTACAGATGATTAAAACTTAATTATTTTACGTAAAATAAAGTATATTATTGACCATTATTTACATTGCAAAAAACAAAAAATATAATAATAAAAATTAGTATTAAAATGACTGACTTGTTCTAATATTGATATTTATTTTTAAAAGATTTTCAAGCTTTAAACAACAGTCAAATTAATAGGATGGATTTTAAATTTTAAAAGATGAAAAGGATAACACTTACACTTACACTTCAATTATTTTTAGTGGTGAGGAATTTATCTGGAACCGTAGATTTAATAATGAAATAACGTCTTTGATGGAAGTGAAAATTAATCTAAAATTGGATAAAATATTAAAAGATACAATCATTCGTACACGTTAAAAAATAAATAAAAATTATTATTGACATTCAGTATAAATATGAACCAATGGGTCGGATTTAAATTATTATAATTTTATTCAATGTTTTAGAATTAAAATTCTAAAGTTCATTGAGCGAATGAATTCGGTGACATATTCATGTTTAGTATAAGCTATAAGAAAAAATATTACTTATAAATAGATTAAATCGCAATTAGTATTCTTAAGTATTCGATCTTATTGTCATAAACGTCGTAAATTCAGTTTCAATTTTTTCAAAAGATTACATATAAGTTTCGGTTAAGGAACTCTCGATAATTAAAATAATCAAGATAGTATTACCGAAAAATTATTTATTTCATATTTGTTAATTGAATTATAATAAATTATGTTTTATAATAATATTTAAGTACGTTTTTCATAAGGAAAATTCGATCGAAGGTAAATATAATATGATGGAATATCATAAAAAACATTTAAAGTATTTTAAAGTTCTATAGATTTATGTTGAATAAATATAAATGGACTTTAAAACGAAATATTAATTATGGAATGACAATTAAAGTGGAAAAATTTCAAATTATCAAAAATAAAAATTTCTTAAAATATTATTTTTGTCAAAATTCTTTATGCACTAAGAAAATAATTTTCTTATTGCAATCATGTAATTGTCATTAGAATTAATAATATTATTGTCCATTTGGTATATTAAATTTTTGATAAATAGATCTAATATAATTTAAAATAAAGTTTCATAATATAATTAAATAATTGCTTATATTTCGCAATAAACATATAAATATAATGTTTAATTGAATTATGTTGCTGTTTATTTTATTCTTAATTTTAGTTTATTATTATCTGCTGATTTCGCTATGTAAATATAATATTTCAAATACAATGATTACAATATAACTAAAAGAACAAAGCAATAATTGTTAAAACTTTTGTAATTATTAAACCAAAATACAGCTTATTTGTTATTATACAAAAATTTCTTCAATTTTTTAAATATTTCATGCAATGTAATAATTTTACATTAAATATTTTAACTTAATTAAATAAAGGTATTTACATTCGAATATTTGAAATGTATTGCATTGAAATATTTAAAAATTATTTATAAATTATTACCCTTATTGAAAATGATTAAAAACTTTTTATATAATCATTTATTATATTTATTAGATTTTTATTCTTTTAATAACAATTTATTAGCATGTTCATTATTAATAAATATATATATATATATATTTGATGTAAACATTCTGTTATCTAATAAATGTATCGCTTAAAGTCTGATATGAAATTGATAATTAATGATACATAAATTGTATTCTATGGTAAAGAAAATTTACTCGAATATTAATTCATTTAATTTCAACTTCTCATTTATTTAATAGTTATATTTATGGTTTTCATGTGCACGCAATCCACTAATCGATTAAATATTTTTACATATTCATTATAACGACTTTCAAAATAATAGAATATAATTCACATTATGCAATAGCTTCTAAAACAAAATTCAATAATCCAAATATAAACTAAATTCTACGCAATTTCATATTCCTTCTTTTACGTTGATCATAAATTCATGCCTAAAAATCGAAATATTACTCCCCAAAGTTACAGCGTCCTCGCCTGCCATTTTCGGCAAAAAAAAAAAAAAAAAAAAAAATCGAAGCAACGCGTAATATCAATACTTTGAATGTTAATCGTAAAAATAATGGCATTTCGAATAGAAAAACATTTTGCTTCAAATTTTCACAAAAACGATCCTTTCCTTTTCCTTCGCGAATCTAATCATTCACTCAAATGGGCACGTTTATATCTCCCCTTCACACTCGCCCTCTTCCATACCCAATGATGCCTTCTGTTCAACCAAATCAGGGTCTTGGCCAGGCCCGCATAAATTTTTTGCACCCCTCTCAACGAGTGTCGACGGTTCACTCTCCATCTACACGTATATACAGATTATGACTGTTTCATTGGCAGATTGAGGAAAATGGACGGGATTTATGTGTTTGGCACGCCCGTCACGTCTGTGATAGCCATTGGCTCCAAGTTCTTCGACATCTATCGACTGTCCCAAGCACTTAATTCTCGTGGTTGGAACCTCAATCCCTTGCAGTTCCCCAGCGCCTTACACATATGCGTGACCCACGTGCATACGGAGCCTGGGGTCGCTCAGCAATTCGTCCACGATATGAAGGAAGATGTGGCTACGATACTCAGGAATCCGTCAGAAAATGCCAAGGGCATGGTACGTTATTCCCGTTTGTGTATGTTAGTACAGGCGTGTTGGAGGAGGATCGCGCGGGAGGGGGGATTACAGCTGAAATGAATTTTTTGTATTAATCAATGCTTAGTGGGCAAATGCAGTGAGGATACGATAGCTAATTCAAGGAAGTGTCTTCCTTCAATTCTTTTACTATTGACTCTGGATAATTTATTATGTAGACTGAATGCACGCTTGATTTAGCTATAAACTTTTAATCTCTTTAACGCTTTCAGATAACGAAGATATGGTAAAAAATATTTTACACATTCATATTTCTTAGAATAATTAGATGAGTAAAAAAAGAGTTTCCTAAACTTTCATGCCAAACTCTTCCAAGATGCCTATTGAAAGTTTTTACATTATTTAGACTGTTTTAATAGCTCGCAGCACGCAAATATTATAATTCAATAATTTTGTCGTAAATATAATTCAAATGATTTTAAAAATATTTTTTCAGAGCTTCTCTTTTTATCCGGTTTTTAAATGTTTCGTACGAAATTTAGAGTAAATAATAACAATAATTTATTATAATAGCATTAATATTATACTTACTTCGAATCAATATTACATTTTACATTTCAGTAAATTTTAATAACAAACACTAATTTATATTTTTTGAAATTTTAGTGCAACATTTAACTAACCCATTTAACTAACAAAAAAAAATCATAATGTCGTAAATATAATACCTAAGAATTATTATAAAGCCTAGATTTTACAATTTTATAAAATAATAAAATTCGAGTAATAAATTCATTCGTATTCATATTGACTTAAAAATTTCAAAATTTCAAAATATTATACATAAATATTATAGATAAATTCAAAGTACTATTATCATTATTAGATATTAAGGTATTTCATTTTTTTTTTTACAGTAATTTAGATTTTATAAATTCATGAAAATATGCTTTCAAAAATCCACTCACTTTCGTAAAATTATATTGTTTTTTCTCATTAAAACTATGCATTTCACCGCAAATGTATGAAATAATTTGTAAATAAATATACTTGAAACACACGAAATCGTGTTATTATTACAGCTGAAGATTTACAGCAAAGCAAATTCCTTAATAAATTTTGACATCCGAGTTTAGCAGGATTCATTAAATTAGAATATAGAATATTATAGATATTCCTTTTATAGATGCGGGAAAAACATTAGCAATCAAAATGAAAAAGAACAAACGATTTGAATAAGCCTACTCATTGAAATATAAAAAAGTGGTTATTGTTTCAATACTATGGTTAAGTCTATGAGCTACGAATAGTAATTTAAAATCATTTTAAGTCTATGGGAAAGTTACTTTCGCAACTATTCAAGATAATAATACATTCAAGATAAATAATGCTTTTAAGTCGAGTGAAACAAGCAATTTTTGTACAGCTTTTATTTAATAATTGTTTTTAAGAAAGTTTATATTTTGAAAACATTTGAACAGAAAGATTCAAGCAGAAATTTACATAAAAAATAAGACGTTCAGTATCTTTAAATTGTTAATGAAATATTTTTATATAGTATTAAAAATTTTAATTTTACTTACATAATTAATTAATTGTAGTATATATATATATATATGACTAAATTACATTGAAATATTAAATAAAGCACATTACTCATTTTTTATATTATGCTCAACAATTTTATTTATTTATTTTCTTTTGTAGAAGAGTTTTCTTTTTATAAATAAATGCTAATGAATTTATTGACATTAAATGTTGTATACATTGTTTATACAAAATAAATAAAAAAATTATACATTTGGTACAAATCATCAAATTATCAAAGCTATTAAAACGATACGTAGGTCATTTATTATTTAGTTTTTATTTATGGTAATTAATAGAAATTTTTTAATACATGTCGTATTTTTTGTTTTACAGTACGCGATATATGGATCGAGCCAAAGCATTGCAGATCGTAGTATAGTAGGTGAGATTACTAAGTACTTTTTGGATGCAGTATATTACACACCAAAGGAGGAATGTACTACCGTTGGTAAAGAAAATCGTATAGAATTTAAAACCAGTAACGAAAAATTGAATTCCAAGCTCCTGTGAGAACAAAATTGTGTTTGACTCACTGAAATACGCACCCAGTTACTCAATTCCTTTATTAAACATCATTTTAATTTTATTTCATATTTTATCAATTTATAAAAAACTGTAATAAAAAAGAAGATTTTATTAAACAAAAACAAAAATTAAATGGCTTATTCATCCTAATCTTTTATTTAGGCAAACAAAAACATTTTTACATGCCATTTATTTGTTATTAATAATGTAGTTATCGCAACGTTTGATAACTACAGACTTTTACGTATTTTTTCTTATTTACTCACAATAAGTAAATTTTAAAATAAATTTCAAATATATATTTCACTAATATAATACTTTATTCGTATAATTTAATTATTAAATATCAAGTATCAATACAAATGCAGTTAAAATAAATTATAATTAATTTATAGTATTAAGGAATGTAATATTATTATATTTATTAGTAAAACAAATCATTAAATACTTAAAGGCTATTATTAACTTTAATAAATTAGATTTTTTATTCATTCATTTATCATCACAAAAATATTTACACATAATTAATATGAAAAAAAAATTTTTTCTTTAAATTTTATGAAATAACATTTTGTCTATAAAAAATCAAATAAAAAAATATGTTTTATATGGTTGAATGTAAATATAAGTTTAACGTCAATTTGATGAAAGACACTTTTTTTTTTAATGTATATGAATCATGAAAAAGAGTGAATATTTCTGTTATAAGAAAAAATAATTAAATGATTGAGTAGACGTATGCTCATATAAGTATAATATAATATAAAAATAATATTAATACAAAATGTTTTAATTAAAAACAAAAATTTAATTCGTATACAACAGCTAGTTTTGAAATTTCTTATCTTAAATGGTATTTCATTTAATAATGACATTCAGTATTGATATTCAACAATGAAATAAATTTAATGTTAATTTGAACCATAAGTTATAAAATATTATTTTCGAAAAAAGCTAATTTATTAAATATTTAATATGTTATTGTTAGGTATGTACATATTTCTAGTACAAATTATACCTTTAAAACTTGTATGCATGCAACATGATAGTATAAGAACCTCATTTTTGCAGGAAATAAAAATTTAAAAGTGATAAATATATTCTTATATTTCCGTATTGAATAGATTAAAAATCAACTTATTATATGCAATTGTACACATGTATAATAAACATATTAATAATATAATAATTGTAGTGTATTTATGAATCTTACTATAATGTATTTTATTTAGTTTTTGTTTATCTATTACTTCGCCAACTAGCGTATCATTTAATAAAAAAAATCTATAACCTACTATGTGTGACATTATTTATAGGATGTATAATTATTAGACTCATGACATTATTTATTATGAGTGAATTTTGAATTGAACGTATTTATTGATAAAAATAGAATAATGAAAATAAAATTAATCTTAAATGAGAGTAATTTTATTAAAAGCTTAAGGGAATTTTAATAATATTAAACACTATAATTACATCGGCGGTATTAAAAAATTTGCATATGAAAACTAATAATGACACGTTTTTTAAACTATTTAAGTTTTTAAACTAAAATTAATTATAGTACTTATGAAAGATTATGTGGGCATTAGTAATATTTCAATTTATCATATTGAAAATATTCATGTTCTTCTTTCTGCGTCACCATACTTGATTTGCTCTACTGAATGCAATACTTTTTTATATCATAGTATGAGCTCCTCTCTAGGTTGACGGAATTTTTGTTTCTAAATCCATTTCCTTTTCCTATCCTAAACAAAGATTTGAAATTTATGTGGATATTTCTTTCTTTTTATTAAAACTTAAAATAAAGTATTGTTACAAATGTTTTCCATAAAATAAATACTTATGCTTCGTTTCAATCTTTTATTACGAAATACAACAGTTAGTTATATAACAAAATTTCATACAAATTAATCTAATATTTGAAAGGTGATTTACATTTTAGAAAGCTCTTATAATAGTGGCATAACAAAATTTAATAATTATTGTACGCAATATAAATATACATTGCCATACACGATTTTACATTAATTATGCTGTAATCATTTTGCATTTAAGTTAATAATATGCAAGTAATAATTATACGTTGTTTATTGAGTATTTCATAATATTTTTCATATTATTACTAATACCTCACAAGTGAATGTCAATAAATTGAGATCATGCAGACAAAGCTCAAATATTACAATAAACCTTGTTTTAAGGATTAGAAAAGTATTTTGTTGTCAAATCAGTTTCTTAGCAGAGGTTCTTTTCCATGCACGAGAAAGTCCATCGCGTAATGAAAAATAAGTTATTCATAAATATTCGCACGAAAATTACCATAGAAGCTCTAAAAGTCGAATCAAAATGTACGACCACTCGGTTGGAAAGCATTGGCAATTTCTTCATTGTAAAAGTTAGCTGGCAAGAAGGAGTTACGCGTGTTTTGGCCTGTCGTTGATGTTGTATACGTGTTATATAGATCGAACGAACACGAAAACACATGAATAAGCCGCGAACGCATAGATGTAGACTAGGTGGACGAGGGGGCATTAGAGGGCGTTAGTACTATAATAATAATTATCATTGTTACTGTCATTTCAATTGCTTCCTCTGCCTATATTATGCAACAAGACTCTTACTATTGATGCAAACGCTTACACGAACAATACAGGCTAGATCATTGCGTAGAAAGGGATCAAGTTTCGTATTCCCCTTTCACTAGCTCCCCGAGTGAGAATCTCAGACATTCCTCCTGCGTAGCTTCCTTGAGTGAAATAGCGGCAGAAGTCCTG